AATGTCCCTTCAAAGTGCATACTGCCATGCAGCTGCTAACTAAATAGCGATGTTGTTGGTGCATCTAGTTGGAGCCTGAGCCCCAACTGCCATTGGCACCTGCTGCCTCGTTCCCACCTGTGTTCCCAGGAAGTATTAGGCAAGGATAAGCTGCTTTTGCCTGCCCACTCACCACCACTGAATTGCTTATATGGAAGGGAAGGAGGGGGTTTTGTCTTTTTTTTTTTTTTTTTTTTTTTTTTTCTTACAGTCTTTTTTTTGCAGTCAGCATATCTTATGTGTCTCTTGGTAAAAAGATACTCTTATCTCAGTCAAAGTATACGTTAAAATTGTAATGTTACGCCTGTAGCATCAAGGCTGGACTCTCTCCTGAGAGCAGCGGTACCGTAGGAGATATCTGTGTGGTTTTGCTTTTCCTCCCAAAAAAGAGTATTGAGAAACACTGTCTTAAACTAAAAATGAATCTTGGAAACTGTTGCAGAAGCTAAGGATCTTGATATAAAAAATACAGTTTATAGTTCCAAAGATTCTAGGTAGGTGGGTTTTCTGTTTGTTTGACTTTTTAAGGATGGAGACAGTATGGTTTATGTTTATTTTGCTTTCAATGAAAGCTAGATTTATTTTCTTTTTTTCAATCTAGGAATAACCATCTGGTTTTTGTTATTTATTACAATTTAATTTGTTCATTCCAGGACTTTCTTTCTTGGAACCTCTACCTTTGGTAATGTCTGAACAGATTCCTGCAGTATTTTTTAGCCGTTTCTTTCAAACGTTGTAGCTCCTGTGCAATAACCACAGGATTAGTTCGTTGTTTAAGGATGTGCTAAACAGCATAAACTGCCTTTTATGGTACAAATTTGTGTAGATAAAGCATAATTATGCCATGTCGAGCTCAAGACTAGAGGGAAAAGGAGTAGATGAATAATTTACATAATACACTGGCATTTGGGGGAGATGCTCAGACAGAAAGGGAAGTGATTAGATGAGTAATGCGCTTTTGGTGTCACTGTGAATTAGCATCAGATACCTTTCCCCACATGCCTTTCATACAGTGAAAGATCAAATAGCTTCTGTTCCCTTTCCAGATTGTAACAAATTTTCTTGCAGAACATGACACAGTTCTTGTATAAAAATGAATTAAGAATAAATGTTCTATTGTAGTCTGTCGAGTCTGGAAAGTAATCATCCTCAGGGTGCAGCAAGTGAGAAGATGTGCTTGCAACCGTGAGGTACTTCACCAGTGTGGAGCTAGTGTTCTAGCTCCTATCAGATGGTAACTGTGTGGTGCCTCCTCTTCCAGAAGGTCACTGGACTTATGTTAGATGGCATGAAAAGCCTTCTTGTGTTTGCAGCCATAGGGAAAATAATAATGGTAGCTATTAACATTGAGGCTGCAGTGAAAAACAAACACTGACATTGCTTTTGGCTTGTTCTTTCTGGTAGTGTTGTCTGTGGACCAGGAACGGAATTCCCCTGTGCAAGTAGAAAATGTTATTTTCCAACATCAATAGCTTTAAGAAAGCAGATTTTTGTGACTGAAACAAGAGAATCTTAACAGAAGATGCTGGAATAAATCTTTGCTGGGGTCTCTGTCTTTGGGACAGAGAGCAGTTCATGTCTTGATTTCAGATCTGTCCTCATTCTCCAATTCAGGCAAGAACTTCATAGTCCAAGCCTTACTCTGGTGCCCTCAAAGCCTGCAGTTTGCCTCATCTCACAGCTTTCCATGCAAATAATTCAGTTGTACCTGTGATGGCCGAGGCTCATCCTGAGGGCTTTCTGGTTGCAAAGTGAACTTTTCCCTGAATTTCATCTTTTCACAGAAGAGCCAGGGCAGATACTACTTTCTTATGAGTTAAATCTATTGATCCTTCTCAGGTTTGTCGTTTATTAAGGAGGAGGGAAATTAATGGCTTGTATCCTCCTGCCTGAGGAAGGCGTAGGAGAGGGAGGAATGTTGCATGGCCCATTACCTCGGAGTTTCATACCACATGTTATTAAAGGTCATTCCGTTGATGGCAGGTGTTTACTGCCTGATTATTTATTTATTTTCTTCCTATCTTGGGATACAGGTGTTTGGGTTTTGGTTAATTGGTTAATACCTATCTGCAGATCTACAGGCTGAAAGGTGCTTAGCAAGTTTATTTATAGGGAGGCCTGGGTCCTTCCACGGCGGCTTCGGCTTTCTCATGTAAGCAGGGTCTCCTCAGGAGCTGGATTTTTTCTGCCAACACTAAATCCCGGGTGCCTTGAGGAGGGAGAAGCATAAGATAAAAATGAAACTCGCATGTTTTATGTTGGCATCTTAATGCAGATGTGGTAGCGGAGGAAATAGAGTGAAACGGTAGGTGAGGGTCTTTGGGCAGAAACGAGGTTTTAAAGCAGTGTTTGTCAGATATAGTGGCTGACCCTTGACGTACTTGGTTGGCTTGAACAGGCCAAATGTTGCTGTTGCAGGAGCTGAGCTACCTCAGACTGTGTACATGGCTGCCTGCAGAGGTGAGCCTTCCCTTTCCTGTCCTCCTCATGCCCCATGGAGTGTGTCTTTGGGGGAGCAAGATGCTGAGGAAACGGGGCTCGCAGTGAGATGCTGAGGAAACGCGGCTCGCGCCAGGGCTGTGTCTGCGCGATCCGGCCTCCCTCTAGTGGCTGCTGCCCCAGCCAGGCCTCAGCGTGCGCCACATCGGAGACCGCGGCGTTGTCCTCTGCTCTGCCCTCCCCGCGCCTGCTTCAGGCGTCCTATGGTGGCTATAACGAATGTATACAACTGCTATAGTGTCATATTGCTCTACTTACTAGATCAATAACCGCTGTATTGGTGTGGCAGTTAGGGTCGATGAGGAAATAATGTTAAACGCAGGCTGTATCACTAGTGTTAGCTGGTGAACTTGCCCGTTAGTGTGTTGTGACAAGGAGGACTCTGGAAACTCGTTTACACTGTGTAAAATCATAAGGCTAAGGTGTTTTTATCATAGCAGTAATAAAAACGTTTGACACAATACATGTATGAGTTATTTTAGCTATGCAGAATTCTTTTTACTGTATTCTGCATTCTTTGCCTTCTGCTGCTTTGTGTTTCCAACTGCTAAAGAACACATACAAAAACGTTTCTGAGTTAAGACCATTCATTCTTTCCGGCATAATTTTCATGAACAAAATCGAATGCATTAGGTACCAGGCTTAATAGAGGTTTTTGCTCCCTCTTTCCAAAAGCTGGCTGTGCATCCTGCAGCACCTTAGTCATTAACCTTTCTTATCAGGTAGGGACAGACAGCAGGAAGCCCAGGCAAAGTGCACTGCAACACCACAAGACGAAAAGCTAGGTGGATGCCTTACAGTTAAATAGTATTTTATAACTTCGCATTGTTTTTTTGCAAGTAAAATATAGGATTTGTCTATGGGATGATACTTTTTTTCTACCACCTAGGGGGAAAAAGTAGATGGAAGATGTAAGCAGATGTGATGTTATTCTGGCTATTTTGACAGGTGTCATTTTGGTCCCTCTGGTGGCAGAATGCTTTACACTATGTCTAGGTGTATATACCAGAGCTGTGCTGATTCTCTAAGAGAGATCTAGAGTCCATCTACTATTTTTCTAAGCTGTATTGCTCTTTTTTTTTTCCTTCCTTTATTTTGGAATTTTAACAAACTTGGTATTAGCAGGAGGTAAACAAAGCAAAGGCAAATGTGCTTTGAAATCTCTTGCTGTCACAAATGAAGGAATAGTGTGTTGCATTTACAGCACACCAGAAGTTCGTTCTAGTGCTCCCGCTTTCCTGGTGGGACGGTTGTCTGGGTGGATGTTGCCTGCAAATTGAAAATGGGCAGTTTCCTGCCTTTTTTTTTTTTTTTTTTTTTAAGTGTATTTATTTAAGTAGCTGTTATTTCTTGTGTGCTGTGGATATAATTAATTTTTGTTATTTATTTTTTTATCAAGCAACAATAGATATAACAGATCGGAAATGGGCTTATTCTTAATCTGTGACAACTTGACACTAACAGACATAACATTTTTATGATATAACACGCTCACATGATAGCAACATGAATGATTTTGTATATAATCATTTGTGGTTTTGTTTTTCATCCTTTTTCAGTTTAGCAGTGTTAAAACCCTCAAGAACAAAGGATAATCAGGAAAAACAAAAACATTAAAGTTGATTTTATTCTTGAAGTGGTCGGCTGTGCTTTCTTTTACATCACTGCTTTGTTAATTTGAAAGGTCCCGTCTGTATATAAGAAGTATACGGATTATACCCATCTATATATTATACTGAAAATTAGGTCTGATTGATTTATATAAATAACTTAAAAATTACTCTGTTGTATGTGTGAGTAGCCTCAAATCATAACATTTATTTATGAATTGTGAAGCATGGCTAAAATTGAATGAAAAACAGAGAACTTGAAGAGTAAAAAAATATTTGTACCTGTTTAGTACTTTTAAATTATGCTCTCATGGCGGTTGATGTTTCTTAAGGTCAGATCCAAATGATAATTTCTAACCAGATGTCTATGCGCTCCGTCAGGAGCCAACATAAGCTGGCTACTAAGGTGGCATAGGGAAGATGGCAACACATTTGTATGTCTTTGCCCTCCAAGGATTCCTATCCTGCCTGTATCCTTAGGACAGATGCCGGATTGAGCAGCCCTCGATCTGTTCTAAGAAAAGGAGGAGTACAACCCCCTTTTTTTTTTTTTTTCTGTAATTTGAGATCTCAACCATGCTTGTAGGATACAGACTTAGTTAAATATAGAAGACTAAAATTAAAGGTATGGGTGTACCCACACTTTGGACAGCTATAGAGCAAAGGGTCTCATTATCAAGTGTTCTCTTCTGACTCTGAGTGTTCTAAAGAGTATTATATGACAGTCTTTAATACACTGATGAGGTGAAAACTAAGCATTTAGTTGAGAAGGAAAATATCAAAATGTAATATTTGGAAGATCCTAGCAGTGATGAAGTCGCTTGATAAATAAGTGTTGCTTTTCCTGGGAAGATGGTGCCCAGTAAGTATTCAGATGTGTAGGAGGAGACATTTTTGACATAATTCTTGAAATATGAGTGCTCAGATACATGGACAGGGTCATTCCAGAGGCGGCTGCGCTTTTTTGGGAAAAAGTCGTATGTTATGGTAACATCTTCTTTTGTTGGATGTGAAAAGAATTGGGAAAGGTGGTGGGGGCAGGTGATAGGCTATAGTTTTAATACTGTGACAAGAAGCCACATTCTTGTGTTCCCAAGTTTTCGTTTCGTTCAAGAAGGACGATGTGTCAAGGGTGAGAGGTTGCTTTTTGTGTAGCATCCGTGTCCGTGGAGGACTCTCCTCAGTCTAGGCCGAAATTTAAATTCGCTGTTTTGCATCTTTACTGCCCTTTCTTCCTTGAAGAAGGGAGGGAGGGTAATTTAATAGTGATGCCAATGCAGTAAAGTGTTATTTTAAGGGAAAAAAAAGGCCAAATACTTTTCTTTGAGACCAGGTTCTATGAAGACCCTCTGCATGACACTGGTAGTTTATCACATGTCAACCTGCTGTTAAGAGTCTAATAGTAAACCTGGTCAGGAAGGCAGCAGGAGAGGGAGGCAGCTGTGTTTTTCTGGAACCCTGGATTAATAAACAAGGATTCTGGTGCTAACTGGAAAACAGTGTGGTTTCAAAACCCTGGAGCAAAGGAGCTTTCTCTTCCTTTAAAATAGGGCATCACCAAAACAGGGAGAGCTTGAGTTGAATTGCAGAAGTGGAGGAAAGGAGAAAGTGAGTTAATGCTCCATGTTATTAGCCTTACGTAGTACTAAATGAGACCTTCCTCACAAGGTTAGTGTTGAAGTCCTGCTCAAACTGTGCCTCTGCACAGCAAGTGGACAAGCTTGACACTGCAAAGAAAGTTCAATGCGTCTTCAGGCTTCTGCTGTCTGCTTAAGAGAGCAACATCATTTGATGGTCTTAAAGAGAGGAGGCAGAACATCAGCGCTCTGGACATGGTTCTCCTGTCCTTTGGCTGTATTTTCCCTTCTTGTAGATTAAGAAAATAAGCTTTGAAGGATCAGGGAGAAGGCTTAAGTAGCATCAGGGAAGAAGAGAGAAGGGCGTCATGTCATTTTTCTTGTTTTCTTCCCACCAGACAGCTCTCTCTTCTTGCCCAGGTGCATACCCGTTCCTTCCACTTGACCCAGGTGACCATTCTTCAGGTCAGGTTTTCCATCTGGTGCTGTGGGGAGGTTTGTGCTGTTCCTAATGGTTGTTCTGCAGCTCTGTTTAAGCATTCCTTTGAACTCCATTAACTCTGTTACACACCAACATACATTAGTATTTAACTTGGATGCATGACAAAACTGTCTTTTACTTGGATTCCTGTCAGAATTGTGATACTTTTTTTCATATTGTGGTATTGCCAAGGAGTAAAGCTCAGTCACATTTCTTCGTACTGATTTTCCTTTGTGTGCTTAAAATGGTAAATAAACAGCTACTTCAAAATAGAAAACTTTTGTTCTGTGTCTGCACGGACTTGAGAATTTGGAATCCAGCATTGTTGTCTTGTGTGTATTTTATGCTATATATGCTATATATGCATTCTCGAAAATCTTCATCATTTTTATAGGTAGTATTCTTTTCTAATAAATTGAGGTATTGCAAATACAGTTTAGTTTGGATAGGCATCTAGGGGGCTCTTTTGAAAGCTTACTGAAAATGTCTAGCTGTGTATTGGTCTTCGGATATATATAATGAAAACTTTGAAAGTTATACTCACTTCCGTTTGCATGCATTTCCTCAACAATACTGCATCTTGTGAATAATTACTTTTTATTAAACTGAATGTTTGTTCTTTTACACACTGTGTTCTCCTTTTGAAGGTTCCAAAGGTTAGCACTGCTTTTATGTTGTATAAAGAAAATATTGGCAGAATTTGCTATCTCAGTGTGTGATAGCATTTATCTTTAATAAAGAAGCATAGCTTCTCAAAGTAAATATGCATTTCTAGTGTTCAAAAATGTATCCTCTCCTTTTTTTTTCTCTTTCAGATCTCTCCAAGAATAGATTAACTGAGATTCCTATAGAGGTGTGCCATTTTGTGTCATTGGAAACACTAAATCTCTACCATAATTGTATTAAAATTATACCGGATGCAATAGTGAACTTACAAATGCTAACTTACTTAAATTTGAGGTAAGTTTAAGTTTACCTTATTTTTTGTTTATTTGCAAATGTGCCATGTCTGTTCTTAATATGTTTCTGGAACAACTGACACTTCTTGTTTTATTCGAAGGAGTAAGTCAGAAATTCACTGCCTGTGGGTAGAACGTTGTACAGAGCCATCATGAGGACCAAAATGTAAAAATAATGATTTAAGGAAAGACCAAAAATACATTAATCTCCCCTACCATTATAGCAAATTCTGAATGCAAATTATATTAGCACAGATTCTTTGACTGCATTCTAATGACAAACGTTTTTTTGAACTGTAACATATGCACTTGTAGTCAAAAAAGTGAAGGGACAGAGGCAGAAGAGTGATCTTTTTCTTGCTGAATGGAAGGGAAAGATGTGCTGCTTTGTTGCTCTTATCCTGTCATTATGCAAGAAAAAGTATCTACTTTTTTTTAAGAGGAAGAGGCAAAAAATTAGGCATTATTGTTTCTTTTCCAGGAAAAGAGACCATAGATGCTAATGTTGTAGCTTAAAATCCAAAATACGAAGTATTGGAAAGGGTGAACACGTTGCTCTAGCCTTCCTTGCACTGTCACTATGCTACAGCTTTGGGTTCTGTGATACTCCGGTTTTGGCTCTATAGAGTTGTCTCTTGAGCAATTCCTACTTTAGGAGTAGGACTCTTAATTTATGAAATAGCATCATAAATAGATGTACATAAAGAAATTGATATTGGATTAAATATATTGTTTGCATAAAACATTTAAGTAATTTTAGAAATTAAAATGAAATAACTCACTGGCAATGGAATTTGTGAGTCATATCACAAACCCAGAATAGCTGCAAACAGACGGAGTATCACGTATCACAGTAAATTACACAATCAAAACAAAAGGATATTTTTCAGGCTTTCCTAAGTAAGGTCATTTCCCTCAGTTTAAAGTTTTGTGAAATAATTTCCTCTTCATGTGGATATGCCCTTCCCCCATGTTAGCTGAACAAAGTAAGCAGCCCCTGGACGAGGGAAATACATCCTTGATGTTCTCAGCATTTCGCTTCTTGGCAAGAAAAACATGATGGATGAGAGCTGCAGATTTCTCACTCTGGTGCCAGTGGAGCCTGTATGTTGGGTAGAATTAGAAAGGGATGCCAAGAGACAAAGTCTTTGGGACTTGGTGGACAGTGTTCTGTCTTTATTTAAAGACCTTTTCTTATTGTTATTAAACAGACATGATAAATTCTTTACCTTGGGATGTGCTATTCATTATTTCGTAGTGGATTGTTCCTGAGTTCTCTAGAACTTAAAATTAATCCCTTCGTGCGTGTCCAATCTGCTGAATAGTTTAATCTTTTTAGATTTTCATCTTTCTCATTGGTGTGGTAAATTAAGTGTATGTTAGTCAGACCAGTTTTAACTAAGGTTTTTGAACTCTTGCAGATGAAACGGAATAGCACAAGGGATTTATTATTTTCTTGAGTGAAGTTTCACAAATCTGATACTCTTGTGCTTGCTGTATTGGCTGTAAAAATAATTGTAATCAGTTTAGGAGGTTATTGGCTAGGGGGGGCTTGGGGAACTCAAAGCTTATGGATATAGGAAGCATTCGCTCAGTGAAATAAATAATCTCATTCCTTTTAATGTCTTCTTGGATGAGATGAGACTTCCTGAGAGTTTGAACTCTGTGGTCTGTTCTGTCTGGCCATCTCGTGCATTGCGTTATGCAGCAATGTTCTCACTTATTACTTGTAATTTAAGGATGACAGTTTTGGGACAAATTTGCTGAGGCTATTTTTTGCAGTGGATTTAGTATATAACTGTGATAAGATTGCACAAGACAGCTAACACTCTGCAATGTGCCAAGCACATTTGGCTCTTGAGGTTTGGATGTTAGGTTTCTTTTGGTCCTTAGAGGATAATTTTACAGGACCTGAACAGTTGATGTTTCCTTCCCAGTGCCATTATTGTTATTATATAAAGGTGGCTGCTGTTGGGAACAAGCTCCTAAATGCTCTGCTCAGCTGTGGAGAGGGAATAAGAATGTTCTGTGGTAAAATTTAGCGTAGTTACCTACAGAGAATAAAAGCTTCCATTAATTAAGAAATGGAGGAAAAAAAAAAAAAGGAAAATAAGTTGTTGCTTACACAATATGATATATGGAGATCTCAGCTGGGCTGTTTCTGCCCCTACGGGATCTGTAGTTTTCTTTCTGAGATATATAATGCGAGGCCCATGTAGTGCTGAGGTTTGTATGCGACATGCAGAAGCTGGGGGGACGAGGACAGATGCTGCTGTGTGGATCCTGATATTATGCAGAAGTTGTTCCTTTATTTCCTGTGTTTTCTCTGTGGGAGTTGAAGGTCAACATTTTCAGGTTTCATTAAAAGCAAGCAAGCAAGGTAGCTATGAACACTTGTGCTAAACATTTTCCCCACTGAGAAATTTGAGAATCTTTACATAAACTGACTCTGTTTATTTAGCTGAACCTGAAAAAATGACCTAAAAACATTTGAACATTTGTACATTTGAGTTTGTGACCAAAAAGCATAACAGAAAATAGTTAATATAGGTAGGTCATCATTTTTCTTAGAAAAAAGTCTCCCCCTCGATGTCCTCTGCTGGTCAGAGCTGCCACTGGTGTTCAGGCAGGTCCCTGACTGAGCAGCTTTAGAGCTGATCCTTTCTTACAGGATTCATGTGTTGAGCATAGTTTATACCTATATATACACACATATATATGTATATAATCTATACAGATTAAATCCTACGTCCTCCTAGCTAAGGGGCACCTTTCCTCTGAACGCTCTAGCCTGTGTCAGGCACTGCTGATGGAAAGGAAAATTAAGGGATGAGGGATATAAGAATCTATAAAAGACTCGTCTTGTCTTGTCTCATAACTGATTTCTGTGCATGACAGTCTGAAATGTTGTCTTGTGAGGTCAGGAGAAACCTTTTCCTTATTATTAGAGTAGCCTGGGTGCAAATTAAAATTCTCCATATAGAAGAGCAGAGAATGAGTGAAAAGGAAAGTATTTTTTAAAAATGTGAATTACAGGCAGAGTCATAGGCTTTGTCTGCGTTTTAACACTTCTGTGAACTTTCTGTGAGGTATTGAGGACATGACTTCCTTTCCTTATTCCTTAGTTTTCCCATCTGCAAAATGAGAACGAAATTGGTCCCTAGTGCACTGAAAAGTTGAAGCTGTGTTAGGTACTGAGAATGCAGTGATGTGTAATGGCAATTTATAGAAATAGTTTCTAAATTGGGTTTGGGACCTGCCTGCCTTCTGATGCTCGTGAGAGGGATAATGTTGTGGCTTATACCCATTGGCCAGCTCATGGAAAATAAACCTTCTGCAAAGAGAATGCACTTTTTTGGTGGGGGGGGGAGCGCTTTGATTCTATGCTAAGAAAAAAAAAAAAAATCTAAGTTTGGATTGTCTGGGGAGAAAAAAAAATGTGGAACGTACCAAGTAATCTTCAGCTATAACCTTACTGAAAAATAACCAATAACTGCCAAAATAACCATATCTTCTGTAATTAGTTTATTTGTTAAGTTGGAGCATACGTGTCTTCTCTATACTTAGTAAAATGATAAAACAATGTAAATGTTTGAAAAACGCTCTATTTTAATCGACTTTCCTGTATTCATTATGAAGGAAAAAAGCTGTTCTAGGTGACACTGTTCTTGAAGTGATATCAGTCAATTTTTTCTAGAGTGCTAGTATTCTCTAATACTTCATTAGTAATAGAGATATTCTGATGTACAGATATTTCCTTGATGATTGCAATTTCTTAATTCCTAAGTTTACATTTAAAATGTCAAAATGAGAACATTTTACAAAATATTCTCAACATTTTAAGGTAGCATGCAGTAAAATGTCACTTGTATTCTTAATGCTTGCTTTCTTTTTGTTTTTGTTGCAGTCGAAATCAGCTTTCTTCTTTGCCACCTTGCCTATGCAGTCTTCCTCTCAAAGTCTTAATTGCGAGTAACAATAAGCTAGGTTCCCTTCCAGAAGAGATAGGTCAGCTGAAACAGTTAATGGAACTGGTAGGTTACTGATTTTGCTATTCTCTTTCTGTTTATGTTTAATTAGAAACACTTTGCAGCTTTCTTTGAACTAATGCCTAATACTGTAATGCAGGTTAAAAAAAAACAAACAAACAAACTTGTGGTGAACTTTTTAAGAGTGTCCCGTAGTAACAAAATAAGTCTCCTGTATGTTCTCCTGGGCCCTTGGTTCTTTCACAACGTTCCTGGTAATTCCATCATCTTTACCAGTTGTCCTCACAGCATTTACTGGCTCCCTCTTTTGCTGCTCTCAAGTTCCCGGTTCTGGCATCCGGCTCCTCAAAGCTCATCCTTCTCTGTAGCCTCCTCCCCTTCCCCTTTCTTTCTCTTAGCTATTGCTGCTTATTTACCTCACTGCGTCCTACTAAAGATACTGGTCTTACCAGTCTGTTTGCATCTTGTTGAAATATATTTTCCATGCAGCCTTCCTTGCCTAAAAATGCCTGTATCTAAACAGATTTACAAAACTACTTGTCCTCTTGTTTTCAATGCTGTCCCTAAGAGCTACTGTTCCTGCAAGCAGTAGATCACGTAACATATATATATAACATATGATATATAACATATATCGTATATCTGTAGCATACTGCTTGCCTAGTGAGACTAAAGAGGCAGAAATTAATCAATACCTTGATTTCTATGTGCATTTAATTGTGGATGCCTTTTAGGAAAGGTTGTGTGTGGATACTGTATGTACATGTTTCTCTATCTCCCCTGTCCACCTTCTTTCATGTATCCTAGGCATATGTTGTGTCTTCTGGTTATTTCTGTTCATTTTGACCTCTTAAGAAACAAATTGACAAATCAAATCTATGCAGTGATATCTGACTGAGTCATTGTATGGTCTGTAAGACCTTCAAGATCGTGGAGTCCAACCTTAAGCCCATTGCTATCATACTGCTAAACCATGTCCCTAAGTGCCTCATCTACAGTTTTCTTGAATACTGCCAGGCAGGGGGACTCCACCACTTCCCTGGGCAGCCTGTTCCAAGGCTTCACCACTCTTTCTTGACTACTCTTTCCATGCAGAAATTCTTCCTAATGCCTAACCTGAACTTGCACTGACACAGTTTGAGGCTGTTTCCTCTTGTCCTATCTCCTTCCTCCCGTCTCCGTTAACTGCACTTATTTTATACATCATTTAGATGTATAAAATCTGATAGTGCCAGCTTATCATAAGGTATGTCTTATAAAAATAGGTGTTTTATTAAATTCTACAACAGAAGGTGAGCTGGCTTTGCTTCAGGTCCTTGTTCTGCTGCTGATTCTTCGTTTGTAGAGCAAGGCTGTGGGGTTTTGTGTGTGTGTATGGGTCTTTTTTTTTTTTTTTAATCTTTTTGTACAGTACCTTGATGTCAGGCTCTTATCACAACTGATCTGGATGTGGGTGGACAGTTATGTTTTTCTTTTATGCACGAGCTAAAGACTAACATTATTTTTGTGTATTTTGTCTTGTGAGCTCAATTAATTTACTTTACCAAAGAGTTTTAAAGTCTTTTAAGGTAGATTTAAATAGGTTGTTTAGATTCAATTAACCTTAAAAGGAACAGGTTTTCTATAGCAGTTTCTATATTGCTTAAAATAAATTCATTAAAAGTTTATGACTCCAATTTTGTGTATAATTAAAGTTGACACTATGAAACTTCTCTTAATACAGGGAATAGGATGACTTGGCAGGCTTCAAACTTAGTTAACAACATTTCATCTCCTGGTCACTTCCAGGCTAAATGTAGCCTGGCTTGGTAATAAAAGGATGCAATTTTTAGCTTGGGGGCTTATGTAAAATAAATTGGTGTTTTTGGCCTGCCAACTTCTGTTCAAAGCTGAGCAGAACTGTACATCTTATTTGATACTAAGTGAGATTTGTGATATTTTTAGTAAAGACCTGCTGAAATGTCTGTTACTTAAAAATTTCCCCTACTGCTTCAAGTTTGTACCCTCCCAGTAAAGGAACTATTATTGATGCTGAAGTGTTTCAAGAGTTTGCATATCACTTAGAAATAGCCTTTATCCTTGCTTTAGCAACTAAGAGCTTCAAAAGAAATGTCCCAGGGCGATGGAATTTTGGAATCTTTTTGTATAAATTATATGTTTATGTTAACTTCTGTAAATGCAAAGTGCATTTATGAAAACGCAAAAATCACTTCCCAGTTACAGTGTAATTTCAGCATTACTCTTTGTCATGAGCACAATTCCTGCTCTAAAAATGTTTCAAATGAGGTGCCACAGCTACATGCCACTTTTGGGGCCTGCCTTAGGGAACTGCTAAAGCTCAAAAGGGCCTGATGTTATTTCTTTGCAATTTAAAAAAATGTGAAGAACAGATTATTTTAATTCTAATTATATTTATATGGGGCACGTTTCAATTCAAACTGAAATGGTGGCACCGTAAGTGTTTGTTGATGCCACCACAGGTGTTTGTTACAATCCCAGTTAAATGAATTGTGTTGTTTAGCTGGGAGATGACTACACGGTACGGGCGGAAGCAAATAGCCAGTATCTGTACTGCTCTGACTGTGAAGCAGTGTTGCAAAATAAGGTGACTATTGTTCTAAAAAAACCCCAAAAAGCGAAAACAAAAACAGCAGAGCAGAGAGGCTGAGGTCTCCCAGGCTGTTGGCAGGGAAGTCTGGCTGTACGCGGCGAATCCTTTTATTATCTTGCTTTTGGAACAGGTTTTACCCCTCTGGTCGGTCCAGGGTGATGTATGCACAGGTTGCAGCAGATTACATCAGGTCTTTCCAGCTACCCCATCTTCCTTCCCTCTACCCTCCAAAATAGAGTAGGCACTTTTTTCTGTTACCTCCTTTTTCTATTATATCCTGTATAAATTGGATACACTTCATACTTGTGCCATGAAGTGACGTAGATATTGCATGCAGGAAATTTTCAAGTATTTTATTTAATTTTGGGGTTTACTTCTGCATTATATAGATCCCTCAGAGCTGTCTTGCAAGCATCAAAAAATCTTGATTTCCCTCAGGGTATGTTCAAATTAATTTCCAAATTTGATTGGGAAAGTTATTTGCAGTTGCATAACTTGCTTGTAGCACTGCTGGAGCGGCCAGAAGAGCAAATTTAACGTGAAAAGATCCTGGTTTGAGTTTGGCTTCCCACCACCAAGCTTCATGCCATAGTAGTGGATGTAAAAATAACTTAGACTTACGCTTCTCTACTCTTGAGCAAACATGTCTATTGTCAGGGCAGGAAACGAACAGGGGGGACGTAATTGGGTTAATGTGATAAGCCCGACCTCCAGCACATGCCAGTCCCTGAAGCTGAAGGGGTTAGACCTCATTCCGGGGGTCTGCAGATGGCCTCCACGTGAAGCTTCCCACTGCAAACTGACACACTTCTTCAGCAAAATTAATAGTTTGAAAACCACAGGCATTTGATTTTGACACTTTTACTTTCATTGTTGCTGAAACAGTTGCGAAGTTTGAGCTTAGCATCATTTCTGTCATGAAATCTAATAAAAAAGAGCAGAAATAAAACTAGAAATAAGCTTGTAGCATGTCTTTTTTTCCACAGCTATTCAATCAAAACAATAAATTGGAGGGGGGAAAAAAAAAGTCGGACGGCAGCCTTTAGTAGGCTAAAGATATTGTGGTCCGTAGGGATCTTGTGAGTGCTGACCTGCCGTCGTCATCCCTCAGTCTTATTATGGATGTTTTGAAAGGACATAAGTGCATTTTACTTGACTTACGACCATATTTTTGCAGCCTATGTCCATGACCATAGATTACTTCTCATACTTTCTTTCACATTCTCTGTCCCATCCCTGACTTGCTCCATGTGCATCACTGTACTTGAGCTCAAGTTTCCTTGGCACAAGGTGACTTTGCATTTATATCTGCACTCCAGAAAGTGAGTGCTTCATTATGAGCTTGCGTAGAGTCTGTGTAGATTAAAAATAGGACAGTAAAGCTCTTAAAATAGAGGATCTGGGAACAGTGCAATTAATCAGACTTTGTAGCAACTTGGGCAAAAGGGACACTCATCAACTAGGATTTTTAATTTCCTTGTCTAAAAGTTAAAATCATCTCCTGACTCTGTTTTGACAAGGGAAGGAGGTTTTGGCAGCAGGGGTTTCTGTTGCAAGAAGAAACTTGTCTCTGATGTGGAGAGCAGCATTGTCATGTCATGTTTTTACTTTTGTTAAATGTTACCTTTTTTTTTTTAGGCTGATAGACAAGGAATTAACCTAACACCGTTGATTAGTGTTAAAGCAACTGTCTTCAGAGAGATTATTTTGAAATTTGCCTTCCTTTGATAAATTCTGCAGTGTAGGGGCTATTAGGTACTGTGTTAATCCATAATTTGAAGCAAGATGTAGGAGTGCACATGCTAAAAGCGTATTCCTTTGCCACTTCAGGAAAATTGGGCGTTACCATTTAGCTCTCGCACTATGAAGCACTGTTTCCTTTGGTTAATCAGCAAGAGAAGCCTAGTCAGGGCACTACTCAAATTTGCAGGTTATTTTGGTTGTAAGCAGGGGTTTCAAGATCCTTTTGATTTCATACTGGCTATATATCATCTTGTTTGCCAGCAGAAGGGACTGCTTGTTTGTGAAGAATATCTTGCTTCAGAGTGACCTGATGCAAGACGTTGATCTTTAGTTGCGTTGCTAGCATTTAAGATTTTGCCTAAATTATCCATTGTTTAAGTATTTCTACAGTAATATGAGCGTATGTACATTTGTTTGTTGAAATGACATCCTCTGTTGTTTAACCCTGCTTTATATTTCATCTCAACAGCAGATACTCCTTTAGAAACTGAGATAAGCACAGGCTCCAGCTTTACCCAGATGGTTAAACCAGTTGAATTTAGCCATCAAATTCAGACCTGCTTAAAACCTGTCTGGGCTGTTAAGGAATAACTTCTATAGCAGTATGTCGAGCTTCCATATATTATTAAGTAGCCCTGTCCTATTTAATTAGGCCTGTTACTTGATGTGATAATCAGATTTATGCCTTCCTTGAGCATCACTGCAGAAAGGTCGTGCTCTTTTGTTTTGAAGTTTACTTAACAATTGCCTCTAGAGGCACAAGAAAGTTTTAAAAAATATTTATTAGCTTTTCCCTTAGACAAATGTTCTGAGTTTTAAGTAATATGCAAACATTTCTCATGGTTTTGCACTGTAAAGAAAGCACAGAGATGGTTATTTTCAGGTAATAAGGTGTTACAGTAGCAACAGCAAAATATCCAGAGTTTGACGTGATTATTGTTTAACACCGAGGAGCCAAAAATTCACTGTTACTGTTACTTGCACTGCAGGATGTCAGCTGTAATGAGATTACAGCTTTGCCACAGCAAATAGGCCAGCTGAAATCTTTGAAAGAACTGAATATCAGAAGAAATTACCTCGAAGTTTTACCCCAAGGTAAAAACAAAACAAAGCTATTTTTTTGAAAGTGCTTTTTAAAAAATTGTTAAAGTAAACATGATTTAAAAAAATAATAATTTCTTTATGTTTGAATTTATTCTGGGATCACTATGCCTTTGCAGAATATAACATTCTGCAGTAGTTATTAAACCAAAGTTTCTTTTTTTAATGAGTTATTTTTCTGATAAAGAGATAAGTATCTTTTAAGCTACACACACATATAACTGTGAATATTGAGTAAAAAAAGAGTTTTTGAAGATTTTTAAAGATTATTGTTCCTTGTATAGCAGTAACAACCTTACCATTCCTCGTTCTAGAATGGAGTTAAATGTTGATGATATTCCTGCCTTTAATTCATGGCTTTTATTTAATCTTTTTCTATGCTTGAAGCATGATATATGGATGTTCTCTCTTTGTGACTTTCTTTGCCTGTGCAATATTCCTTTTGTCCTTATTGCAGAAGAGTTTGATTTGGAAATACGTTAGTCATTCAACAGCAAAAATTAATACATATACAACGCTTTTTTTCTCTCTTTTGTTTTTAGAACTAGTGCAGCTCCCCTTGGTAAAGTTTGACTTTTCCTGCAATAAAGTGCTTGTGATTCCACTTTGTTTTAGAAAGATGGTGCAATTGCAAGTATTATTGCTTGAGAACAATCCTTTGCAGTCTCCACCAGCACAAGTAAGTAATACTGACAGTTGAAATTATGTTTTAAAATGGGATGGACAGTACAAATACTAGCCTATAAAATGTTATTTTCTCATAGGTTTCTGCATTTGCAGGCTTCTAATTTTAATCACTGCAGGCTTTAGTTGTGGAATGGTGGTTCATGGCATCTGTATTTTATGTATTGGTTGGCACACCACTCAAAACAGCATCATTCTGGAAGATTCCATCTTACTAGCTACCTTTAATATGGCTTTTCTTTCATTTCTGCCTGCATATGAATGCTACAATGTGTGTATAACTGAGAAACTTCTTGGATAAACATTCTTTCCAGAACTGGCCTCTTTGTTATTGATAGAAGGTTATTGTATGATGATAAATGAATGCAACTCAGGCATATTGCTTTGAGACATTGTTTTTCATTTACCGGACATGAGTGTTCAGACTACATCGTCTGAAAGCTCTAATCATTCTATATTCACTGGCATGCCTTTCATGTGCAATAAAAAATGGTAAAATATTCTGCATTTTTCATTATGTAGAATAAATGTTTTCCATTTCCCACTAATGGTGGTGCTGTTATTATCCTCACAGCACATAAAGCAAGTTCCATCAAGCATTTGAGGTAAAGAGTGCAATTAGAGAAAAAAATTCTAAAAGGAAAAGGAAATGTATCATAAAAATGCCTAGACACTTGTAAAAGCAGTGTGTCTAAGTATATCAAAATATGCTGTTTAATTAAGTGTCATTGTTGACTAATTTTAGAAAATAACTATTCATTTTAAAACTAAAAATTGACAAAAAATATATTTTAATAACCTTTATCCTTTTTCCATAAAAAGTGCATGTGGACTTGTTAAGTAGAATACATTTTTTTTGCTGTTTTCTGTCCTGTTCTCTGAAAGTATTTAACGTAGTACACGCAAATCTATGGCTGACTCATTACACTGGTGTTTTTTTAAGATAATATTTGTTTTCTCTTAGATGATATCTATGCAGTGATATCAGATTGTTTTCAGAGTTTTACACTGAGTAAAAACTTGAATAAATTATGTCTTTCTGGTTATAAAGCTGAATTCTTTCCTTGTCTAACAGATTTGTACAAAGGGTAAGGTGCATATATTCAAATATCTGAGTGTACAGGCCTGTCAGATTAAATCAGCAGACTCACTGTATCTTAATGCCATAGAACCACCGCATTTGCCACAACCTGTGGAAGAGAGGTATGTGTAAAATTTTCAATATATAATATAATACTTTGCAACCAAGTGAGATTTATTGTTATGTGTGATTTATATATTGTTATACATTGCAGTGACTTAGCTCTTAAAAGATTCTTTATTCATCCAGAGGCTTTTCCATCCAGCAGAGAAAATTGGGTGAACGCTGAAACTCTTTCAAAGTGAATTCGGCTAATTTGTTAGCAAAACGAAAGACAGGCTCTTCCGTGTCTTAAAACAGCTGTCTAGGAATTGCCATCCCATTTGGTATTTTAAGGACAAGAACTGGATAGGAGAGAGAGTTGTTTTATAAGGATCTCTATAGCTAATTGGAAAGTGCTTCTTAACCAGTTCTTTGCTAACATGAGAAATTTAATATAGCTGATTGGGGAAAGTGTGCTAGCAAGGCCTCAATTTTGAAGAGAAGTTCCCAGTAGAAAGAAGGCATCAATGGAAATAAAAATAGAGATATTGCTGCTAACATCCTGAAAAATGTGTGAAAGAATTGTCAGAGAATTATCTTCACTTATATTTGAAGACAGCTTTGGGCATTTCTATCAAATGCTAAAGTTAAGTGGGAAGAATCTAGGATATAGAGCAAGATTTCCACTTGGGAAACACCTGCTGGTGATTTTTTTTATTGGGGGAGGGGGGGAAATTGCTTTTTATCATCTCAGTATAAAATAAAATTGAATTTCTGATCTTGGAGAAAAATGAATTTAAGATTTAACTGTAGGATTTTGTCCTATCATAAACCATTAACAAAGCTAACATAGATGCTTGTGGATCTATTGCTAACTATTTCAACTCTTTCTGCATTTGTTTCATAATGTAGTTTCCTCATTTAATGTTTATACTTGAATAAGTAATTTTTAATGTGATATTTCTCATAGCCAAAATGTGCAAAATATCATAATTTATTTTTGAGATTAATTTCTAATTTCAAAAGAAAAAAATATCTGTTTAGAATTTCCACAGACAGTTATATATAAAAATCCTTAGTGTTTACTGATAACATATTATATAAGATTTGACTTAATCGGATGAGTATTTCATATAAAGACAACTAGAATAAAGATTTTTTTTTTTAATTTCTGCATCAGTCTAAATTCAGGATTGCAGCTTTCAGGTTTGCACATGGGAGAAAAATAAGCATATATAAGGAAATCAGATGGTGTGCTGCATCTAATAGTGTACTTTAAAATTAGTAGAGGTCATACTTGGTAATGAATCAGGAGAGAAAGCAGTTGCCATTATTACAGGGATTTTCTTAAAATATTAATTTTCAAAGTCTATTTTAAATCGCCTGAAGGAGGTTTCTGTGTTAATAATTACTCCAAACCCTGGGGAAAAATTGGTTCATTTCTAATGCGTCAGTGGTTGCATTTAATTCAGCTGAACTCTCACAGGAGTCAACCAGTTTAGTTGCTTATCACACAGCTAAATGATTATGGTCAAGCCAGGCCCTTTCACTGCTTGGTTAATAGAGAAGCAGTCTTTCCTAGCGTGTGGGCAAGAGGAGGCTTTATGGCACATGATTTCTCTAGTTCCACAAGAACTTAAGGAAAAATTTCTTTCCTGTGAGGGTGCCAGAGCCCTGGAACAGGCTGCCCAGAGAGGTTGTGGAGTCTCCTGCTCTGGAGATCTTCCAAACCTGCCTGGATGCCACCCTGTGCCACGTGCTCTGGGTGTCCCTGCTGGAGCAGGGGGGTTGGACTAGACGATCTCTAGAGGTCCCTTCCAGCCTTAAGGATTCTATGATTTATTTTTTTGTTTTCATCTAGCATCGATGACATCTTCCCAAGTAAGAAGGACTCTGATTCAGGTGTTGGCAGTGATAACGGCGATAAACGTTTGTCGGCAACAGAGGTAAATTGCCTCACTTTTGTGTCCGAAACCCATAATTCATTAGACCTTTACTTGGGTAGCCATGTGAATAAATTTTTAGTCCTCTAAACTATGCGACCCCATCTGAGCATTAATTTCTCTCTAAGTAATCACTGAAGCAGAGATTAAAGGAAGCAGGATTCTTTATTTCATTTGGTCTTTGCTCTTCATGGAGGGGCCACTGAAGTTGGCTGCAAACGGTCATGACTCTGCCAGTTACGCAGACCATTTTCAGGCAACGATCTAGACAACAAGGAGCAAAACAGAATCTAAATCTGTTCTTGCCGAAGACATAAATGTCCTGACAAATTATGTGTCTGGCTCCTTCTCACCTGCTCTTGGCTCTGACTGATGACTCTTTCCTGGTGGGAGTTAATGGAGTCCGTGACTCCAAGGGTCATTTTCCCAGCATGGTCCATGGTGTCATGTCTAGGGCAGCTTGCTGGAGGGTAGGAACTTCAGGAACATTGCAGGTCTCCACATAACCACGCTGATAGTTAGGCAGGGCTGGAAATGAGCCTTCAAAAGGGTTAAAATTACTACGTCTCTCAGCAGAACAGGGTGCTAAATCCTAGAAAAGTCTTTTCTTGGATATCCAAATGAGCGCTTGAACCTAAACTGAACAAATAGTCGTAAATAAGGAAATAATCTTCAAGATAGTTCATGAAACCTACAAATAACAACAGGATTTCCAGTCTGACTTAATGGGGAAATATTCAAATCAAAGTTAAGGAAGGTACTTTGTGCTGCTTAAGATGATTTTGCACTGATTCTTCAACCTCTCTTTCCTCTATTGAGGAAAATGTGTTTCAGTTACTTTTGAAACAAAATGTCAAAAGAATCAAGTTTAAATACTGAATTTTTAGTTATTGCAAAAAGGAAATTGAAAATAAATGCACTCTAAAGAGTATACACTATTCCTCTAATGCAAAAACACGCAGATATTGCAGTTTTTTTTTAAACTGCAACAATTGTCACCTACATTTACAAGTTTCCTGCTAGAGAGCAAGAGCACAATGTAGCACAATTACTGTGACTTCCAAACAGATTTCTGGTAGTTTGCCTTGACCATATATTCCATTCAAAGAGATTTGCAAACTATTTTGCCTTTCTTAGATTTCTGAGTTTGCTCATTGATGACACTGTGTTATCCAGTTTTCTCTTTAGCTATAAATAACACCTTTAGAAAATAGATCATCATAGTCTGCTATGAGGATACCCTCAATGTGACTGCAGCCTCTTAGAGCAGGTTTGGTCACTTCAGACTCTCTGGTGGCCTCTCCCACGTTGCCGTTCTACTCAGTACCAGAGTTGATGCTCTTAAATGAGCTTTTAAAGGGTTATGGTTTGAGCTGAAGCCAATGTCTCTTGCTTCTCTTTAGCCATCTGATGAAGATACTATTAGCTTTAATGTCCCCATGTCAGACATTGTGGAAGAAGAGCAGTTTGTGAAAGAAGACTCAGGTCACCATGCTAACTCAAGAAAAGGTTGGAATGTTAAATATATATAAATATATATGTGTGTGTGATGTTGTAAATTCAATTTTTAAAGCTCACAGCCTAACAAGCATTGGTCTTTCAGGAGTCTACAGACATCACCATTACATTAGATTCTTTTTTGTTTAGTGCTTTTTTTGGATTTTTTTAAGTATTTTTTTGAGTTTTCAGCATTGCATATATTGCTGAAATTCTAGTCAGTAAACAGTTATTTTTACTATCCTGGTCATTGTAATTTTTAAACTTTCAAGTATTCTATTTTTTATCCAAAGGGCTTCAAGCATGCATATACTTGTGCTGCTTAGAGCAGACTTGGCTAGCTACTGAGTAGAGATCCCTATAATCCTTTTCACAACAGTCACAAACAGGTTTTTACAATCTGTCTCAAGAATTAGTAAGGTGTGGGTCTGACTGGGAGAGTCAGTTGGAAAATAGAGAGTCAGTTCAACCCATGCTTCCCAGTCAGTAGTATCAATGTCTGCTGATTTTTACCAAATATACCAGATTCTTAGCAAGTAATGTATAAAAGCAGAGACCTAAAGCATATATAAAGCTTTATAAATCCAAGTCAGCATTACATATGGAAAGAAATGACCCTTTTCAGATTTTGAGAAAAGATGTAATTTTATCTAAGTTTATTCAAGTTACATTTTCTGGATGATTTCTACATGCTGTTAAAAGTTTTATCCAAGGTCTACACATTTTAATGGTAAATTACAGGATGAGCTCAATGACTTGCATGCGAAGAGTCTCACAGACTGACATCCAGCCATTCTAAAATACTGTTCAGCTGTGTTTTTTATGGGTACTACCAAGACATCCTTGGTTTAATTCAAAAATTAAGTCTTATCAATCCCTGTTGTGGTGCTTCTGATTCACAGCTGAACAAACTCAGAATCCTGGTCCTTTATTACAACTTTGAAATGTGCTGATATCACTCATTAGAAACTAAGTCTTAACTTGCTTAGGGTTTTTATAGGCTTTGAATTTAAGCTTTGCTTGTATTTGAGTTCTATAATTTAGATGTTGTCCAAAGTAATGATAAGCTGAACCAGAAATCATTTCTCTGTCTTTTTTTATTGTTAGTGGAATTCCATCAGGGATCTGCTCACTTGGTTGTCAATGATAAGTCAAGAGAAACGGGAAACCAGTTTGTTGATGAATCGGATACTCTTACTACTGAATTTATGAGTTACATCAAGGCAAGTTTGTGATTTTTAAGTGAGATAAAATAACTTGACTACTTTCGTAAGTACAGAGCTGCAGGAATGGCAAAAAGGAGACAGATCAGTGAGTAGGAAACTATAGATTTGCTATGTTAATTGTCATGAGCTGCAGAATGCAAAACTAAGTAGATAGGTTTAAAATGATGATAATTATTTTAGAAGATTATTTTTTCCCATAACACTTTCTGGTGTATGTGAGAATGCTCTTTTTATTGTGTTTAAGGCTTTGAGGATAATATGATTGGTATATCCTACACCAATTGCTTTATATTTTGAATTAAGTAGTTTTTGCATTTGTTATGTTACAAAATGCCAGAAGATTTTGATAGGTTATAGAGATATCTAAAGTTTTATATATATATATATAAAATGCTAAAGTGTACTGAAAATTCATCTCTTATCTGTTAGGTTTAGTAGATTTTGTCCACATATATGGGATAAGTTTAAAAAAAAAATCCAAAGATATCCAGTGATTGCTGTTGGCTGTTAACTTAACGAAATTCAATTGGCTCATTATATAACGAGAGCAGCATAACTATTGTTTTTTAATGCCATTGGTTAGACTGATGGATGTAACCTCCCACCTTCTTGAAGGCAGAGGGAAGAAGACTTTCTTGTTCTGCAAATGATCTCTCTCCTTTTTTGAGACATTATTTTTCTAGCAACAGACCTTTAGTAGATGCTGTTTCCCTATATTCCCTAACATGATAGCAGTTGAGATCAGCATTTGGTAGCTTGAAGAGACAGTAAATTTACAAGGAGTTTGAAGTTGGGACAATTTTCTTCTTCTACTTCTGGATCTCTTGTGTTCTTTGATTTATATTTAGTTGTGTATATACATATATACGTAGTTGAATGCATTTTGGGACACTGGGGATTCTAATTTTGAAATTCAGGCTAACACTACAACTGGCAGCGTAAAAGGGCTTTGACTCTAAGTTTTGAAGAATTTGTATTTTCCTTTTCAAATGTTAGTCCTAATTGGTATGGCTTTATTTATATAATAATTATGCAGGGACCGAGAATCTCCTTCTAAAAGTAGCGATACACTTTTTATCATCAGATGAAATGTGCCTTTTTTACTGGAAAAAAACCCTCACATTTCCTTGTGCATGTAAGGGAAAGAAATGGATGAAAAGCAGTGTTTATTTTCCTGGGGAATGGCCCAGGGAAGGGGGGGTAACACGTGAGAAGCTGGTACGCTCCTAGGGACACGTGTTTGGCGGAGCAGGACAGTGTTTGTTGCTGCAGGGCGATAATGGATAGACCAAATGCGTGACACACAGGGGGACAGACATCTCTGTGCGCAGCTCCTTCTCTCCTTGGACAAACACACATCTATTCAGAGCACTTCTGCCTGTCCTGGCAGCTCAGTTCCTTCAGTGTTGCTGCTTATCCGGCATGAGAGAGCACAGAAATTTGCACCAAAGGGATGCGTGAGTGAGGGATTCAACTTTCCTAATACACAGTGGTGCTTCATAATTATGGCTCGGGCAGTGTGTGAGGGGGCTCCAATTTATGCTGGCAAACCCCCAATAACCAGGAAACTGATGTGAATTCTTGGGCAGGGCTTTTCTTCTGATTATTTTATTTTATTTTTTTTCATGCAGAATTGTTAAAGTAGCCAAGTACTAATTCTGTTAATAATTACAATGAAGTGTACTACCATGGGGCCTTTTTCCTTATTCTTTATAGATTCATGTGTGCACCAAACTTAAAGATAACATATGAATATCTTTCAAGTGGAAAGATGGGTGTTGGTTTGGATTTACCCTTGCATATTTTTAGGCTACTTGTTTGCATGTTTGGAATTTCCTTGCTCTGCAAACAAATCTGCTGGTGGGAGGAGAGCAATAAGATGAACGTCAGGGTCAGGCTTACTTGAGGAATTGTTTGCATACACCAGAAAGGGACAAATGAAATCTGGGGCACTGAATGAAGAATTCTCATGCTGCTTGACTTTTTTTTTTCACAGTTAAAGGAGGGTAAGGGCTGCTGACCTCAATAAAAATCTGAACACTGAGTAGAAGATTGTAGAATGAGTATCTTAAATGGGGGTAGAGGGTAAGGAGTGGAGCAGAGGAGTTGGGTTGCTTCAACTAGCTGCACTAAACTGTTAAATAAACTAGGTCAGTGCTGAGTCTGAATGGGAAATTTATCTGTGTACGTTCCCATCTCGATACCGGTCTGTCTGCTTACAGAGCAGAGCAGCAGAGTGTGATGAGTTACTGCGAATAGAAGAGGACGCACAATGGCAGACCGAGGAAATGTAAGTATGTTTCTTCATGTGTCTAAAAATAATTAGCTCTACCTTCTCATTAGATGGCCACATTGGCGTTTCCTTATCAGTTAAGAAGCACAGACTTACGCTGTATGTGTATGCTCAATATTTATACAGTGTTGTTAATACTAAATGGGAGTTGCATTAAAACTGGTTTGTATGCCCTAATAATGCTGTAGTGTTTTAACTGATGAAGAGTCCAGGGTTTTTAATTAGGTATTGATATTTACTATGTTCTTAGTAAAAGGATTTTACTAAATTTTCTAATGCTTAAAAAATAATTACCTGGAAAAAAAAAATCCTCAGTCATCTTCTCTTACAATTTGCATGACCCTGAAGTAATCCTTAACTTATAGACATTATTTCGAAGGCAGTGCAGGTAGACATTGATTTGGAGAGTGCATAGAAAAGGTGATCTGGCATGATTTAGGAGCTTGGAGTTGTCACTAAGCAGAAGAGTGAAGTCCTATGTAATTAAAACAAAAGCTGAAGGCAGAAATGAGAATTTTCTGAAAAACATCTTGTTAGCAGAGAACTAGCAGGTGATTGTGTTTCTAAACTCCTGAGAGAATTACGAATGTTGAAAAGCAGAAGAGAACATGTTGTCAAATACTTGTTTTAAGGCAGTATACATGATGAGTGAAGTTAATAAGTAGTTAAGTATTCCTAAATAAACTTTCAGAAGTCAGCCCGTTCAATGGAAATCTTGGAAGTTTTAATTCATCATAAAGCATGTGTTAGCTTGGAGAGCTGATAAGGAAAACATGCTGGAGAGCTCTCTTTCTTTCTGTAAATTCCACACATATTGGTGCACACAGAGACTTTTTTCTTTGCTAATATTTGAGCCCCTGTTTGAAGATGTAGCTCACAAATGGAAATTTAGACTATTTTTGACAATTGCTGTGGTGGTACTTTTTTTAATCTTTTTTTTTCCTGTTATAGAATAAATCTGTCAGAAGAGCAAACGATTGATATAGCAATGATAGAACAACTACGAGAAGCAGTAGATTTATTACAGGACCCCAGGTATGAAGCAGGTGGTGTCTTAATGTCATGTAGTCATATATTTAAAATTATTGCGAATAGCTTTTGAAATTCCCTTTTTTTTTTTTTAATGCTGATAATTGAAAGTTGCCTGGACTTGGCTGACACTGCTAACATACTGATGTTTTTCTGCAGCTACTTTAGTATAAAGGAAATGCATTCTCTCTCTGAGTATCTTTACAAGATTCTTATTATATCACTTGGTATTTCAGATATGAAGGAAATCTATTTTTTTAGAGGTGGAAGAAAGTTTTCAACCCTCAACCCTTTTTCTGATTGTGTGCCCTACTGTGATTTTCTGAAGTTTAGTCCCGAATAGTCATGTTTGTTTCAGGGTGCTCTGTTTTTTCATACTTCATGTATTTTCAGATATGTTCACTTGTATTTCCCATATTGACTGCCTGCTTTCAGATTGTTGGCTATTGTAATTTGTTGCTGCACTACTATATTCTTATGTACTATATATTAAATCTGAATATAAAGTTAAGGCTTTGGGTTCTGTTGCAACACCAGGAAAATACCAGAAGTTGGACATAGGACGTTGCAATATGTTAGACCATGACAGAGTTGGTAGTGCTGAACAGGTCCATTTCTTTTGATACACAATACTGCTCAGGAGGATATTTTGCAGGGGAAAGCACTAATTTTCCCTTGACAAAACTGATGGTCAAGAAAGTATCAAGAAATATTTCCATAGGTTGTTATGGGATAATACTGAATAAGTTAAAAGCATGACTGAAAATATTTTACATACCCATTTGTATGAAATGAAACACTGAGCAGAATGGTTAACAAAGCCATGCTCTCAGTACAATGGTTTTATTTCAACCTTCCAGATCAAGCATGGATGTTTCAGAGAGCAGTGTTGTAAATCCATTTTCAATGGAAAAGGCAGCAATTTTAGAATTTCAGGAATCTACAGTAATGTTTGTTTAGCTAACTTTTTAAGAAAAATAATACATTTGTTAGGTTCATCATATTTAAGTTTCTCTCAATAACACGTTTGCATTGTTTGTCTTTATACGCAGCAGTCAAATGCAGATGGAGATGTCCTCTCTTGGTCAGGTAAGTCAATGGACACTTTATTGCTAAATACCTATGCTAAAGGCAGGAACTGAGCCAACAATTTAACAAATTATTAACCTACCAGATAGGGAAAGGAAAAATTCAGTAGACTGGAGTTCACAATTAAGTCTTTTGAGTATTTTTATAGATTTATTCTTTTTAAGATTGCTGGGATTATCAGTTTCTTTTTATCTTAGCTTTTTTTCCCCTCTGTGTGGCATTTCTGGTTGCAGACCTTAGCTACATTTCCCTTTCCCTGAAATCTCCCTAGTTCAGTGTAAGAAAACAGTGCATGCATTATGAATAACCCTGAAATGTTCTGTAAGATAAAGATTACTGTTTACCTAAGGCACTGACACTACAGTTACAGAGATTATAGATAGCATTATTTGGATTTTTACAGTGTAAATATAACCAGCATAAAGTAATAACCAGCATTACTTTATCTGTATTCTGACTGGTGAACTGGTATTCTTTATTAGTAATTTGTTTAAATTTTCAAAATTATCTACCTGTAAATGTTGGAATTGCATATATATATTGTCTGGCTACTTCTCTTGTTGGCTTTCCATCACAGTATTTTTAAGGGCTACTCTGAGATAATGTTATATAAAATAAATAATTAAAAGTAAAAAAAAAAAAAAAAAGAGTTCTCTTTCTAGTGCTATGCAGTCTAAAGACTCTGTGTATTTATAGAAAGAAAATGCTGAAGAGGAACTAGAATTTCAGAAGAGGAGGGAACTGATTATGGAGAAAGCCAAGACAGAAACCAGAACATGTGAACAGGGCAAAAGCTGGTCGTTGAGTCAGGTATGGAGGATAGAATAGATGTGGAAAACACTTGGAATGAATCGTTACCTTCTGTATGTTTCTTTATGGAAATAATAGTGGGTTTAGACCCTTGGTAAAAGAAACATCTGATTCCTCTTGCCTCTGCTCTCCAAATATCCTGGCCCTTGTATACGGTGCTAAGTTGTTAAATAGTGGTATGCTGTTATATAGGGTGCTAAGTTTACATGAACAGCAGCATTCTTAACATTCTAAAAGTTACAAAAAATATATGTAGGTTGAGATATACTTTTCAAGTTGCAAATATACTTTCTTTTAAACAAGTTAAATTCAAAAAAAGTGAGTTTTCATACTTTTTTTTTCCTTCCATCCAGAATTCTACCATCATCCTTATGTGCTGGGGTTAGCAAACTGTATTTGAAAGGGTATTTACAACAATTTTGAGATTACACATAAATCTAACTCGGTAACAAAGCATGTGTTATCTCTGTATTCTAGTGAAGTTGTTTAACAAGGACACTGCTGACTCTTAAGAACTTACTAAGAAGAAGAAATAAAACCTTGGGCAACCTAAACACTTGTAGAGGGGCTAGTCTGAACTGTCACACAGGTGAAAGCACTAGCGATTTTCCATAAGGTGAAATTAATAGCTCCTAATATTTTTGCAGACAGCACCTACACATCTACTAGGCTCTAGTACTGGGTTCTGTAGTGCAGTGAGTATTTGCATCACTGCAGTTAAGCCTGGTGACCTGCATCCTGTGAAAGATTGGACCTGCAATGCAGGCCTGACTAGCATCTGTTTATTCTAGGGAATATTATGGTTGAGGTAAGATTATGAGAGAAATTCTCAGCTGAGAAACTTCTTAAGCCTGAGAAATAGCCAAGAAAGGTTCAATGCAGCAAAATGGGTGTGTAGCCTTCCTTCCCATCCTGGTAACTTCTGGAAAGTTGTGTGACCTTTGGGACCAAGTGTTCTGAGCACAACACAAGTGTGTGTTTGTTCCCTTTTTTTTTTTTTTTTTCCATGACACAAAAATTGGCCCTCACAAAAGGAGTTTGGAATTGAATTATAATTTGTTTTTACCTGTGCCAGTTCTATTTTTGCTGCCTAGCCATCATTATGATGAATTGTTTTCGGTTTTATTTACTTGAGTTAAACATTTTCAGTTTAACTAAAGCAAAAGCATTAACAATTATGTTATAGTGCAATTCTAAAATGAGTATCTCTTACTTTCAGAGTACTTTTAAAATCTGTGTTAATGTGTTAAACTATTGGTGATAGCTTAATTATTACCTCTGTGAAACAAGTAAGATTAAAATATTGTTGCCAATGCACTTCTGAATTGCTGTTGAAACTAAGAGATTAAAGACCATGTGTTAAAAGTCAAAAGTGCAAATAATTTCCATTAGATCTTTTTAAATGGTATCGTCAGTTCGTATAACAAATTTATATTATTTCTTTGTTTTTTCAGCTAAAGATAATCTAATGGTGGGGAAAAAAACACTTTAAAGGTGGTAGTAGTGGTAGGAAAGTAATAAATATTAATGTGTATTCGAATATCTTGAGGAAGAGACCCTGTGGTGGTATGGTGGTATATGACTAATACCCTTACTGATCTAGTGTGTTTTTTTTTTTTTTTTTTTTTTTGCCTTTCTCCTCCCTCACGCTCCCCTATAGAATGATCTAATAGCGTGGAATACAAGTGGGCAAAGTGCTCACAATGAGGTAAGATACTAGTTGTCCTTATGTCTGTGGTTTGTAGATCATCACTTCGCATGGTATTTTTTTTAACTTGCTGCATGAATACAGAACATACTAAAGTGAACCAAGTAGCTGAATATCACAGGAAACACGACTGAGCTGTTAAGTGAAGACTGTTTCACTTGGCCTGTTTGTTTCATTCGCATCTTCATAAGGATTTAAATATAAAAATGTAATTTCTGAATTTCTGTTACGGTTCTTACTTATGTATATTCCATACTTTTTTTTTGTTTTCACTTTTTGACTCTTACTGTGTTCGACAAGAATTTCCACCCATTTTTAAAAATTGGTTTCCTGTGCAGAAGCAGGGTTTGCTCCTCTGCAGAACATGTGTATGAGCATCTTGCATGTTCATGAGCTACCAGATATATACATATGTATATACCAGATACAGTAGAGGAAGACCCTTTTCCTCCTCCTGCTGCAACTTCCAGCTGCTCTCTGCTTCCTTACACGCAGAGTCCTCCAGCCACCTTCCAGCTGCCTTGGTGATGGAGCTGGGTAGCTCCTGGCTCCACAAGCAATCAGGCTTTAAGTAGAATTCCTGTTATGGAGTTGGCTGTACGACTTTCCCAAAGTTTCCGTTGGTGGTATGATGTATGTATGGTTGTGTGTGTGTATATATGTATGTGTATGTATATATATATATATATATATACACACACACACACACACACAGTCCTATATGCTCTTAGCCGTTCTTTGTGTTTCATTCTGCTGAGGCTCAGGGGGTAGCCCGCTCTGAGGTCTATGAGTAACTTCCCACTTTTGACTTTTTAGGCAGAAATTCAGTGTTGCAGGGAACATAGTTATGCAAAACAGGAATGAATGCAGTACAAGAAACACACTTATCTAAGGCAAAACTGGTCTTTGTTTTATTTTTGTGACTGTACTACTACCACAAAAATGTATGCTTTATAATAACCAAGCAATTATGTGAGAACACCGAGAAATAACGGGTGTAGTTACAGCTAGGCAGAAAATCCTGCAGTCTTTGGTCAAAAACTTTTCTTTTCCTTTGAAGGAATGGGATGGAATAAGAAAGGGAGTGTGTATGTACAACATGTTTTGAGAATATATTGTGATCAGGTTGGGGCAGAAATCCTTGTAGTGTGAGTGCTGTTACCTCTGCGTTTTATGCAGTCACTTGTGCTGAGATATCCTGGGTGTCACTCTTACTCCAATTCGTGTTTTTGATTTGCACAGAACAAGGATAAAAGTCCGACGTTGTCTCCTACTGCAAACAGCACAGTCCCTTTTGGCCTGAAGCCACGATCAGGTAACGTAGGAAAGAAATGTGACTGTTTAGGTTGGGAACTTCCAGAATACTTCTCCTTTTTTACTCTTTTACTTTAAATTTTTACTCTTTTACTTTCAATTCCATTCAGCAAAAATCAACAAATTTCTATGCACTTCTTTACATATGTCATTCAAGGGTGTCCTTTTTTTCTTCTGTGAGAGGTACTGTTAAAACCTTTTTCATACAACAGCTTGAGGAAGGCTAGAACATTTTCAAGGTTATAGGTTGAACTAGAAAATGAATTTGTAACACCAGTAAATAATTGACATGTTTTATGTGGATCGCTTTTCAGTTCTTACTAATAGTTTTATAAATTTATATGGATGTCTTGTTTATATGTAGGCTTATGAATATGTATGCATATGTGTATGTGTATATATACATATGAATGTGTATGTTTGTATGTCGGGATGAAAATACAGTTCAGGTCTTTTTGAAAAATTTCTGTGAATAATTAATTTGGAAAAATGAGCTTATGCATTGCTCTGAAAAATATGTCATTGCATCTTCAGTAGTTATGCTTGTTATAAGCATTAAGTGTTATCGGAAGATTAGATGTTCATTTCAGCTAGAAGCTGAGTTGAGTTTAAGGAATTTTTAATGTCCTAAATCTGCATAACTCTCAAACTTGTATTTAATGTTCAAGACTTTATTTAATATTAAAAAATATTCGAGAGGATTGAGCAGCTCTCTTTGAAAACAGAATTAGGGTTAAATTAAGTTTTTATAGTAGTAGTTAATGTCGTTGTCATCTTTCATCTTCTATACAAAATACAAACCTAGGTTTTTCAATATGTTTCAGCTTCCTAAGACTGTGATCCTAGTTTCTTTCATTCACCGCAAAGGCTTTTAATCAAATGCTGGTTAAACCACTATAACCCTGCAGTTTCCATCATAAAATATCTTTGCAATGATGGCAGCAATTTCATATTTGAATGTACTTTAAGAAACTGTACCCATAGATTTGTTTAAAGACAAGTTTTAAAAAAAATAAGGAAAATACTACTGAAGTGACCTTTTTTCATGAATAGGGTAGCTTATGTTCCCTGTGCAGTTATGGTATACAAGGTAGGCAGAGTAGCAAAGTCCTGTGTTTGTTAGTTTGAGACTATTAAACTCTGCTCTATCCTTTTATATTCCTAACACTTTAGATATGTTATTAATTTTTCATATATACGAAATATGAGATAAATAATGAGCAAATGAATCCTTTGTGGACTTGACAAAACCATCGGGTTTCTTTTCCATCGGGTAATATTGCACAGGTGGTGGAGACAACAAGATGAAATCATTAGGGGAAACACATGGGGGGAAAGGGCCCAGGGCTGCCTGGCTGCCTGAGCAGGATGTGTTGAGCCCCCAGTGACAGCTGCTGTGGGGACACGAAGCAGGGCTGGCAGAGCGCACCAAGACCTTGACTTCTTGTTCAAGTGTCAGTTGAACGTGGACTTCCTAATCTTGGCATGTTAATGCACCTGTCCTGTACGTAATGCCAATGATATGGAAGGGCAAATGCTTTCTCAAAAGAATTTTTTTAGAGGGTTTCTAGAGAGATTGGATTGCAAGGGTTGCAGTTCCCTGCAACGTGTCTTGCAGGTCAAATGATGGAAGAACCAGATGTGCAACTCCCCCAGTTCTTTCCCATGGACACTGTAGCTATGTGTAGCTTCATTAAATACCGAAATCTGTTTGATATAAACCTTTTTGTTGTTTTTCTGCACTGTACTACTACAGAATCATAGATTATAACCACTTTGAGTATGCTCATACGAAAGTGACTTTTGGTTCCAGCTATGAGTTGTGGAAAAACTGAAGTTACTGTTTTTCCATGTCTGAATTTATTTTCCCCTGCACATCATAGACTAGACCAGAGCCATTAGTATAGGATCATCTCACCACATGCAGTTTCAGTCATGTTACACAGGTTTGCATCATGGTAAGATACTAATTTAGCAATTACAGCGCTTTAAATCCAATTTGACATTTATATATAAGCTATGTAGCACAATGTGCCCAAATGAGACCTTGCAAAGGAGAAATGGCACTGAAAGTTGTTTCCTCCCTCGATACTACTTTCATGCAGTATTCAAATCTCTAGTATTAAATACTATTAAATGTAGTATTCAACTGTGGTTTGTTAAGACAAGAGAATATTTTTGCAAATAAAAGCAGTATGTAACTGAAAATGCCAGTATGTTTTGTCAGTCTTGCAGATTTTTCTCATTAAAGCTGGTTAGTTTACTGAATCTCTTATTCCTTCACTAACTTCCCTTTAAAAGCTTTTTGTGCAAGGTTTGTACAAATGTGAACCTCTTCATCATTAAGCTTGTGCTTGGTAATTATATACTGTTTTATTGCTGCAGAGCTGGTCTTGAGGTCCAGCAGTTCTGTGTTCAGGGAAGTTCTTCAGCTCAGTTTGTAGCATATCTTAATAGCATTTTCATTTACGTTCTGCATTGCCTTAGGGAATGAACTTTAAAACACATTGAAAATGACTTTTAGCTATACAGTTCACTAGCTTTTATATTTGAATTACTTGCTCCTATAAATCTTTAGAACCTGAGTGCAGGAGGGAAATATATATGTTATATATATCTGTGTGTGTACGTATATGTGTGTATATATATATATGGTAGAATTTCAAGCAAAATATAGGCAAGCATACCTTTCTGAGATTGGAGAGTTTCTTTTCGCAAAGTTTATTTTCATCTATTTTACATAGATGTTGCTTTCTATTTGTCTTTTTTCCCCACTGCTTCATACTGATTTATGCCTTGGGGAAAGGTAGAGGTAAACAGTACTAGACTTCTGGCAGTGATTCCTGTTTCTTGAAGTGCTCGCACAAAGTCTTCCAGAGCGTAAACCACAGTTGCTTAAACTTTCATGCTGGTATGTGTTCAAGACTAAAGGCTCTTTTATTCTTTCATTTTAAAGTTAAGGCAAAGTATGGGAAAAAATTGTATTTGATGGCTGATTTGGTATCCAAAGAAAATGTTTTGGAAGGTAATGAATATGTGTATTTGACCTTTTGACAGATTCTTTAAAGGGTCACGTGTTGCTCAGAAGGTAAAGATAGGCTTTCTGATTTTTCCAATTACTTCTTTCTGCCTTTAAAATAATTCATAGCATATGGACTTCTCAAATCCACATTAATTCTGAGAATCCGAACTATTACTGTTGAAAAGAAGCAAGAATTACGAATTTTCTTAGAGACGTAGTTGTTCTGGGGAATCCTTTTGCTTTCTGAAAAGGAATTGCTCAAAACACTTATGGAATAAACATCTCTTGCACTTGATTCATGAATTTATCATAATGTTAAGAGTGCTGCCTGTGGCAGAAACAGAATGCTGCAAAGTTCTTGCCATAGTATCTTATAAATGGCAGACCTTAAGGTCCAAACATCTACTGTTACCTCTGGCAATCTTCAGAAATATTAATTTCTGTCTTTTGTTCTGTGGCGTTTTGATACTATCCTCCTTCAGAATTTCTGCTGAATGTAGTGGCAGCATCACAGACAAAGGAATAGTAATTTAATAATTGTACTTTTAGAAGCTAGAAGAAGCATGGACAAAGCTGTGATTCCCTTACAAATCTCTTTTCTTAGCGTAATTTCATTCCTCAATGAAGTGCAACTTGAGGAGGATTTGAATCACAAAGTTAGTGTTTGTGGATGTGCCTAGCTTGCTGGTGTTTAGGTCTCTTGGCACATCATGCTTATTAGCAGTAAACAGAACCTGCCTTTTGAGGGTTAGTTGCAATGTAAAAATAGAGAGAGATTAGGAAACTTTTTTTTTTTTCTCCCAGTAAAACAAATTGGATTCTGTGTGTACTTTGGAAAAGCAGGAGAATCCAAATTGCCAGCATAATTAAAGACTGTTTGCTATTTGCCATAGATCTGTATCCCTGTTCCCCATTCTTGGTTCTCCTCAAGGTTCAAGTTTTGCTGGCTCTCACACGCAGCTGAGCTGCCATCCCCAGAGCCCGAGGGGTGAACTGGCTTTTGGAAAAGGCATCTCTTGGGAGGAAGAGCTTTTGAGAACAGCTGAGTGTGAAGAGACGTTTGAGATGATGTTTTATATGATGCTGTCTGAATTATCCTCTTGAATTATCATACGGATCTCAAAATTGTGGGGAAGGACTTAAGAAATCAAGTCCTTCTTAAATTAAGTAATTAAGTTCCTATATGATTGTTGATTCAGGATGGAATAGAATCAGGACTTTCTCTGCTTACTAAAACTTTACCTTGGCCACCTTCCCTTTTAATATTAAATAGTTTATATATATATATGTATATATATATATACACACACGTTTTTATTTTTATTCTTAGTACTAATTTCCATGCTAAATTGATTGAAGATTAAAATTTGATGCTCAGAATAGAGGTAGTTTATAATCTCCATCTTCATGTGAGGATTTGAGAGAGTTGTTTCTGGATTCCAGAATATAAATCTTGGAAATATTTGTATAAAACGGAGAAATGAGGGCAGGTCTCATTATTTTGATGGCAGAAGTGGCAAGGAAGAATGTGATCAGATACAGGAGAAAAAAAAAAAGTGAAATTGTTATGAAAGACGGAGAGGGAGAGATTTAAATTCTTTGATGGAGAGCAGGAAGCTGATGGGAAGTTTTTAAGGGTGGTGAGGTGCAGAAGGTAAGTAAGAAGGAGGTGATGTTTTAGGGATGTCCCTGTCCAGTTCTGAAACCCTCTAGAAAGAGGGTTTGGTGCAAGCACAAGTCAGGAGACAAGTGCAGAGCAGACGTTGCAAAAGCATCCATTGAGGAATCTGAGGAGCGAAGGAGCCGTGTTGCCAGGACTAGCTGAAGAAGCAAGGACAGCAGATAGAGAAGAGGGCTTGTGCTGCTGTAGAAGTTTAGCTCCCGAGTCGGTTGCTGCATAGTCATGCAGTGGAAGGTATGTTCTTAGAGTCACGTTGCTGTCTCGTGAACAGCCCCCGGCCCTCGTTGCAGCCTGTGGGGACATGTCCAGCTGGGCACACTCCAGGAAGCCCAGCTGGATCATTTTGAATTTGCACTTGTTGGCCAGCTGCCTGCAGAGCAGGCTGGCCAAAGCTCGTGGTACAGCACGATCATCCTTTGGAGGCACTGTGTGTCTGTCCTTGTCCTTGGAAAGCTGCAAAGGCTGGCGAGGAGCAAGATTTCCTGAAGGTGGTGGGCCTGTTGTAGGTGTGAGCTTATGGCAGGGGAGTCAGCAAGCAAGAGTAGTAGTGCAGCTTTTGCTATTATGTTAATAAATCAAAATGAAAACATATATAGGACGCTCGTAGGACATTTTTCAAATAGAAGGAGAATCCAAGGGGTAATGCAGTTTCTACTTATTAAAATTAGTTAGCAAATTATAGTGTAGGAATATTTTCATATGGATATATTTATCTGTGGTTAAGGAAAACTTGTTCTTATGAAGTTACAGTGTATAACTAAATTCTTAAGTCTCTGAAGTTTTTTATTTCAGTTGCTGCAACTTCACAGGTGACTTTCCGATATTGATTCACAGAGTCAAGTTTTTCTTTAGGCTACAATGTAAAATCTATGGGTACTTTTTCTTAAAACTCGCTTGTAAACAGTTATTTGAAATGCTCTGGTTATGTTAATCTTATGACACTTAACAGCCTTAACTGCACATATAATGTATGACTTGCAAGTACTAACATCTAACTTTTCTTTATTCTGCATCACGTTTCATTCTTTTCTTCAAAAATTTTGTATTAATCATCTTTGAACTGCATCTTCATCGTTACCATACAATCCTAATGCCACATATGAAATGCTGCTGCCCCTTCCCCCAACTTTTTTTCTTTTCCCGGTCCTTATACTCCCATGGTTGGACTGGTTATCACTCCTCTCCAGCAGACCCATCCCTCACTCTTCCTCCTATCTCCTTCAACACACTTACACAGGCACAAACATGGGACAGCTATAGCTACAGTATCCCCTCTGAAGGAGACAGTGACAATGGTAGGTGCTCTGCGAATATTTCGTTAATCTTATGCTTTGAGAAAAATAAATATACTGCCAGTGCCCCGTGTGACTAAGGATGAAAGACTAAACTGTTCTCTCGGGGAGTGTTTAATAAGACCAAATGCCTCAGTGGATGTGTGTTCACTTACTGTAGAATATGTGCAATTAAAAGTAAACGTGCAAGGAGTGCCACTGTCTACAACCCAGTCCTCGAACTGCTTCCAGGGCAGGTGTATTTATTTGCTTTAATTTCAAAGATTGTAAAAATCATGCTCAGACATCAGTTAACTTTGTTTTTAGCCTATTAGTGCATTTTTCATTAATGAGTTTTTTGATCGATACTGACTTTGTTAATTAAAATGTCATGTTCCCATCTGCAGTTATTGATGCAGGTGCATAATTAGCTTAATTACAAAAGGAATCTATGAAGTCAGTGCTTCATGGGTCAGAAACAAAGCTAAACAAATCAGATAGACAAAAATAGTGGTGTCTGTCTAACAACTGTTAGTAATCTGTCAAGCTTCTCTGTGCAGAGGGAACCCAGATACATTAATGGACGTGGCTGCTGCTGCTTTTGTTTTATTTTTCTCTAAGGTCATTGCTGTAGTAGGTTGAGTCTTAGTGCAAAATGCAGAAGCAAGAGAAAATTGGCCATATTTTGACTGTTGAGGTTTTATTAATAGTTAATTAACAGCTGAATGTCAGGTGGAAGAAACAGAAACTGGACAAACCATTTAAAAATATTTAATACATAAATGTACTTTATGTTATAAGTGAAACTACTTTTCTTGCAGTTGTGCCAAAATTGAATGGTGTTTACATGCTGGAAGGCAATGAAATACCCCAAAACTGGAATGAATGTAAATCATCAGATAGAAACCAAGAAAACAAACCTTGATAATAAATGCCTGCATTTAGTTTAGAATATCTACATTATTAGTTTGGTTCATTGCTCTTGCCCCTTGGTTATAAAACCAGGAAATAAAGCATATCTAGGACACCTGTTCTGTAAAGGAAGTGAGTGCACGATGTTCGAAGTCTGTGATAAAAATAAGTTGGAAAATTGAATCTTACTGCCATGATGGTACTAAGTGAACTTGATGTTTCACAGACGAACAGTCTGTCAGGGAAGAGAGAAAGGTAAAAAGGCTTCTGATGCTGCAGGATTTTCTTTGTCTTCTATGTCAAGATAAAAGTAAAAAATATATATTTGTAGTACATATATGTGTATAAATGTAGAACATTTAATGTTTATGTGTGTAAAATCAAAAATGCCACTGCCGATTTTGAGAAGCCATTTGCTTTCTCATCAACAGCAGATTGTCAGATTGTCCTTGTGCTGCCAGCAAATATGGCTTATGCTTTAACCTGACATCATATCTTGTGGGGTCACTTTCAGGAACCTTGAGTCCCAGGCAGCACAAATATCAGTCAAGATTGCAGCTAAAATACAGTATGACAGATGAGTATTTAAAGAATTTTGGCAGCCCAGAACAAACAAGTTTAGTATCCATCTGTTAGTTTAGTATTCATCTGCCAAGGAAAAAAAAAAAAAAAAGACACCAAAAAAAAAAAAAAAAAAAAAAAAAAGCATGGCCTCGCAGGTATCCAGAATGCTAAGAGCAGGATATCTGTGATTTTCTTTTTGAGTATACTGGAACTGTAGAAGCAGATTGTAAAAGAAACCTGTCCTTTCCAGTCATCTTTAAACCAGGTGCTGTCACTTGTCTCACTTCTGAGGCTGTCACAAGGGTGAGACACCTTTAGATGGTATTTTTCAATCATAGTTTATAGAATAGTTATCTAGAAGATTGCTGAACCAGATTTTCTTAATACTCTATGTCCACAGTTTAAATGGAAACAAGCATAAAATTGGATTAAGGCTTTTATACATACTTAAGTGCTGTTTCTACTATGCTTTGCTTTTGCTTTCTTTAAATATTGCAAACTTGGTCAGGTCTGGGAAGGCTTTCTGATTCTGATTTTCTTCTGATGCAGCAAATTCTGTTCCTTTTTTCATACACCATATGATAAGATCTCAAATTTGGAGCATTCTGCTTTGTAGAAATGATGTTCTTGAAGACATGAAATGGTTAGGGGAGGGCAGCACGGCCAGATGCATCTCTTAGAGCATCTGAATGCTCACCTTGACTGGCAGGCTGGGTATTGCTGAAGAAAAAAACTTTAAAATTTTTAAATTATTCTTGTGTGAATAATTGTTAGCAAGAAGCAAAATTATTTTTTATTATTTTGTTTCAGTATAGCTTTGTAACATAGATTAGTCAGGCACCTTAACTCTTTTAGGTTGTGTTTCTCCTCTTTGTGAAATGTTGGTCAGTTCATAAATAACTTGTATGAGTTGATTTTGTAGTATATTTTTCCTGCATTCCTTTCCCCAGACTGCTTTGTTTTTAGAAATAGTCAATAGCATTTACAGTCTGCTAACCAAATTGTTTAAACTACTCGGGTCCTTTGCTCTTTTATTATACCTCAGTACCTTCAAGTCTGGTGGCACATACAGAATTTCGTGTTTGGAAATAAAATGCAAACGCTGAGCTGCTAAGCCTTGTCTACATAGTCTTAATTAAAGCTTTAAAATATATTTTCCAGTCACCACACTTCCTAGAGGTCACAGATTTCTTCTACACTAGTCTTTGAAGTCCTAGAAGGAAAAACATAGAATACTTTTAGGGTAATTGTAGGCAGAAGACAGCCCACAGCTTATTCTGTATTTTAGCAGGGGGTCTTTTTCCCTCTGCTCATAATTCTAGTAATTGCAGAAGTAATGTTAGAACTTCATGGGCTCATTGAAGTAAATAAGAAACACATGTATAAGGTATAGAAATTGTATCTTAAAGTTGAGCTAAAACATTCACCCAGATACAAAAAAAAAGTTTTCAGAGAAAAAAGAAAGCCATTAAAAAAGTCTTATAATTTTAGTACCATATTTGCAACATTCAAATATGTTTTCATTATAGAGTTCTTTGACTATTGAATTTTTTTCCGTGATCAAAATTTTAAAATACTGTAAATAGTGTGTGTGTGTATATAATTTTAAAATTCTCTAACAGATAAGAAGGAATTTCATTAGTAGAGCTTTTTTTAAAGCAAAGCTAAGGGGACACACAGTAGAGTGAAAATTACACTGGAAAGCTATTTTGCTCATCAGGTTTTAAGTTAACAAGATTACACCTTCCTCTTTAAAATTCAGCTGGTTATTTTTAGTGTGTTTTAGTGTTTTTATTAAAAAAAGCATGACAGTCTGCATTAAGTTGTATATGTGTTAATAAATTATATTGTAGCAGCCTGGCTTCGAATAATGTGGCTCTTCTATTATTGGCTGTAACTATTTATTATTATTATTATTATTATTATTCTCCTCTTAGCTGAAGAGACCATGAGTCTCCTGGTCACAAATAGAAAAAAATCTGCATGTTGCCATAACTCTTGTTACAAATTCCAGTGGAACTACACCAGTTTATACCAGCTGGCAATGCAGACTTAAGCTTCGTTATGTTTTAAAATGAGTTCAGTAAACAAGATTTGTGTTATTCCAAATTGGCCACTGTTTTACTTCTGGGAATAAAATAAGTTCAGTGTAGACTGGTTTGTGCATATTCATTTGGAATAGGTAGATCTTTCATGTCACTTATATCTTAAGCCAAATGCAAGTATTAGTGTATATTGGCTTAAGCTTTTACAACAAAAAAAGCTTTAACAATTTCTTTAAAAAGTGTGGTTGCCATTTTTATTTAAAGTCTGCTATCTAAGTTTATATCTGACCTAAGAAGCAAAATGGACCCAAGACCGTTCTCTGGCAGGGAAGTTAGTTGGCACAGCATGACACAAATAACCTCGACACTCTTGCTTTCCAAAACAGGATGGCTGTGTTTAAGCTGCCTTTTGGGCATGTCCTTGGCCTGTGCTCTTCCCTGGGCTCTGCTCGGACATTGTTCGGAAGAGAGGGAGCTGGCACGGAGCAAAACTGCGCACGGAGCAAGGGCCTAAGAATAGCACGGATGTCCATGGGCCCCACTCTGGCCCATCCACCCGCCCCGTGGAGCTGGCCGCTGTAGCCTTTCATACAGAATTGCCATCAATCGCTCTAGCAGCCTAAAACTTTGTAATCTTAATGTAATTATCAGGCAATAGTTCTGGCTATTAGGAGAGGCTTAAACCCAGAGTGTCTGAGAAAGGATAAGGCTCTCGTCTGGCATGTCTCCCAGGACTATTCTCTGTACCACTGGGACATTTTTTATTTAAAAAATTGTTGCTATATTAAATTTAACATTGTTTACATAAATTTGGACTGAATACGTAAATCAGAGTGAAATCTTACTGTATATATTCTTCTTCATTTCCACCTGCAGTTAGTCCAGCGTTTTGGTTAAGTGCTCGTAGATGCAGGTTAGATATTCTGATTGACCACCTAACAGACAGTGCCAAATAAAGTACTCCTTGATTTGTGCTGTAGCTAAGTACATTTTTTTATTTATTTTTTTTCAGGGAAGTTTATCCTTTATCGCAATATGTAGAATATAAATGTGTTGCTAGCTCTTACCCATTTAACTAGTCAAGGCATGCATAAAATAGATCATAGAATCCTTAAGGTTGGAAGGGACCTTTAGATAAACCCCCCTGCACATGCAGGGCCACCTAGAGCACATGGCACAGGACTGCGTCCAAGCGGGTTTTGAAGATCTCCAGAGAAGGAGACTCCACAACCTCTCTGGGCAGTCTGTTCCAGCTCTCTGTCACCCTCACTGTCAATAAATTTTTCCTTAATTTCCTGTGGAACTTTGGGTGCTTCAGTTTCCGGCCGTTTCCCCTAGTTCGATCAGTGGCCACCACTGAAAAGAGGCCAGCACCATCCTCTGCACTGCCTCCCTTGAGGTACTTATAGACACTGATCAGGTCCCCTCTCAGCCTTCCCTTTTCCAGACTGAACAGGCCCAGCTCCCTCAGCCTCTCCTCATAGGGCAGATGTTCCAGGCCCCTGATCATCCTTGTAGCCCTGCGCTGGACTCTCTCCAGTAGATCCACATCCTAAAATTACTGGAATGGGCATTAGCTTACAACCTAGGTTGACCAGGCATGAGTTCCTAAAGCAGAAACTCTGCACTTCTGCCCAAAAAAGGGCAGTGAGGCCAGTGTTTGTGCGAGATACGGGCTCCCCTTGCTGGAAAACATGTGTAATGCAGAGAAACTATCCATAGTGAGCACTGCCAAAACTTCCAGGGTTGGAACATTTTTCACTAGCAGAATTTTGAAGCCTGGAATCTGAGGCCTGCTCAAGACACTCATAAGCAGTGACTTAGCAGAAGTTGAAGGAAGCATAACTAAGGCCAGACTGAATGAAGGCCATGATAAATACGCCACACTGCTTGCCAAATAGAACATAAATATGAAGTAATGATTTTTATAGAGAATTGTGTGAAATGTTGCTACTGGTAATCATGCTGCAGTGGGGTTAACACCATCTAAATACTGCTCAAGTACATTTTTATCTAAATATTTTATCTGTGAGAGAAACCACAGCTAAATTTCTGTAGCAGCACATTCAACTAGTTCTAGAATGAAAAGGTTTACTTAGAAATTGGAACAAGTGCCACATGCTCTAGGTGGCCCTGTGTGTGCAGGGGGATTGGACTAGATGACCTCTAGAGGTCCCTTCGAACCTTAAGCATTCTATGATGCTAAGTTTTTTTTTAATAAATGTGGTAAGAGATGTTTATAAACATAAAGTTAGAAGCAGTCTTCCATAAACTGTTATAGAATTACTAATGTAAGGGAATAAGTTAAACTCTAGAGTTTTTCTAAGTTTAATAGAAGTCCTGTGGCTGAAGTCTCTACACTTAGAAAAGTTAGGAGCTGATTTTATTTGCATCGTAGCTGTCATGTGCATTGATAAGTACTGTTTTAGATATTTCTGATTACTGTACACCATATTGCAGTCTGGCTGGAGAGGAGGACTGAGCTGCTGTCATTCCTGGTGCTTGTCCTGCATGGTCTTTCTGGGATACTCTGCCATGGTGCCAGTGGTGGGGCTGATGATATTAGGACTAAAGCATAAACTTTACTAACATAAAACTCTAATATTTGGATTGTTCCATTTAAAAATGATTTTGTTTAGCAAATAGACTTAAATACTTGAAATTATGAATTTAATGGCATCATAGCAAGTTTCAATGCCTTATGGAAAGTTACAGCTCTATGTGTGCATCAAGCAGGAGAAGAAAGTGAGTTTAGTAACTAGTTGTAATTTATTCTGTCTTGTTGCCTCAGTGCGTAAGGATAAGTCAGGAGCATTTTGCCATAAGGGACAGAGCACTCAGTGCCTGTCCCTCGGCACTTACCCCATCCTGCCCTCAGGACTGACTTTCCTTTCCTTGGGCTGGAGAAGGGTAGCTCAGATTAATAATTTTGTTACTTAACCATCCCACCTATAATTAAAAAAAAAAGCCTAATGAGTAGACTTGTCTGGAATTTCAGAGAAATTCTGCACAGGAAACCCTGTTTGTTTCCTATTTGAGTCCTATTTGTTTTCCTATTTGAGTCCTGGATGCCAGAGGTTACATTTTTGTATGTTTGCCCTCAACTGATTTTTGGGGCTTCATTAACAAGTTTACTTTCTGTGGGAGCACAGATGAAATTTCCTTCTGCCAAGATTTCAAAAATTTTTTTTTGCATATTTTGAGGACTTATTTAAAAAAAGAAAAAAAATACTCTTCTTATTACCCGAACCACAGCCTGAATAAAAACTTAGAGCATGTCAATCATTTTAGTGGTGTTATTTATATTTATACCCCTAGGAAGATGCATATTGCAGCTAGTTGCACAACTCAACATCTTGTTGGAGTGGGATCTGCTTAAAAAGAGTTAAGAGTTACTTCCTCACATGTTGAAGGCCCTTTTCTACAGATCAGAATCCCTAAGAGTCAATGATAGTGCTTAATCATCTGACAAAATATGCCTGTCTAGAACAGAAGATGGATGAAATATGACATATTCACTCCTTTGATAATATATGATGCAGTTCAGAGAAATATTCAGAAAATACGCATTTACACTGCAGTCCAAGATTGGATATATCTGTCATGTTGAGGACAGAGAAATTTTGTAACCCCATTTGCTGAGGTCAATGCCTGAGGATTTTGCTTAATTAGGACATCAGGAAATCAAGGTTCTTAAACTAAAATATATCTTTTTTTCTTTTTTTCTTTTTTTTTTTTAATCATAGTGTTCTTAAGACCACAGAGAAATTTGGAATCAATAGACCCACAATTTACAATTCGAAGGAAAATGGAGCAGATGAGAGAAGAGAGAGAGCTTGTGGAACAGCTACGTGAGGTACGTGGATGTTGGTAAAATGTGAAATTTTCAAGGTATGTATTTTTTTATTTTTTCATTGGAAAGGTTATACGATTAGAAGAATATCAAATAAGAAAAATGAAGCAATATATTTCTGCAAATCACATTTGTGAGACCATCTCTGTATGACTTAAGAAGTAGACAGGTCTAGGAAATGTTTTCTACAGCTGAAGAAGTCTTAAAGCTAGCAAGTAAAAAGTATAATAAATCTATTAGAAGCAGAAGCTGGAAAAATATGATAAAATTAGGCACTTCTATAGAAGTAGTCAATCGCTGAAATGCAAAGAATACTTAATCACTTGAAGATCTGGAAATACCAGAAATATTGTCTCATATATGTAGAAACGGGGCCCTGATGCAAAAATGGCTGTGTGTCCCTCCATAGTGGAAGTGTTACATAGCGAAGACTCAAGTAGCTCTGTTTGTTTAACACCTATTTGTGTCAAAAAGATGATGTAACCTTTAGGGCAAGGAATGTTGTGAGCCTGAAGCTGTTGAGACGTCCTGTTGTGTGGTGAAGAAGGCCTGGGGTAGCTGCACTGCTAAATGCAGCACCAGTCTCGAAAGTGTAGTAGGTGACTTGGGTATCACAACTGAGATTGCTTGTTCTTAGCTTGATGGATTGACCAGTTTCAATTATTTTTCTTTTAAATGTTTTGTATTATGTATTTTTAAAGCAAGAGGGTTTGCTTTTTTCCTTACCAAATAATATTTAAAAGGAGATTTGTTTAGCATAGAACTATGAAGACTTATAGATCTCTGTTTAATACCTGGATTAACCATACTTTTTGTTGATTTTTGTGCACAGAACAGATCTGGCTAAAGTTTCAGAGAAGTTGAGTGAATATGGCATGTAACCAGTCACAAGTTCAGATAAAACCAAAAAGAAAAAATGTAGGAGTTAGATGAGATAGTTACTGGGGATGGAAAAGAAGATGGAAAGAGCAATAACAAACTGTTAGCACAATTCTTACAATCATAATCTAAGCTGCATCAACATAACTTTTTATGTTTATTTTAACAGTTATCACAAACATATAGCAAGTCCTTAGTTGTTCCTAAAAATAGTATCCTTGTGTATTAGTACAGGTAATCCTCTCAGTGCCAAGCAGAACCAGATTAATCACCACGTCAAACATGAGATCGAGATCTCTTTTCACTCTCTTAGTATTAGATATTGCTAGTAATACTGGATTAATTTTTTTGACCTTGAATTACATGCAGTATCCTCCCTTCCATGCCTTCAGTATTCTGAAATACTGTGTCCTGAAGTGAACATTCTCTCATTTCTTGTAACATGTTTGACCACAGCCAAGGCATCATGGCAGAAGCAGAAAATCTGTTGAAGATTGGAGCCCAATTTAGGACACTGATCATACATAACAATCATTGCACTTTTTTGTTTACTGGCACGCTCTTAAATGCTTATGAAAATAAAGGAAATTTTGAGAAGGACAAGTAGAAAACTTGGGAGAATGGTGAAAGGATGGTGCTACACATAGTGTAGTGCAGTTGCCATGGCTGCTCACAAGTAATGTGTTTTTTTTATATATATATGTAAAAATACATGTATATTATGACAGCAGCATTTTAAGGTGATGAGTTCTTTTAAATGAGTAAATTCAGTGACCAACACAAGTAGAGAGTTTTTTTACCTTTTAAAGAATTATTTATATGAGAAAACAAGTGGCTTTCTTGGTAAACCAAAACTGGACACATGCCTAACTGCCTGGAAGAAGATGGGTATATATATTTGCTGGTTTGTGTATCTATTTGCTGGGGTTTTTTTTTTCACTTGTTTCTGTATAAAAGTGTATGTTTATTCTTCATTTTCAGAACATTGAAACGAGACTAAAGATTTGTTTGCCTGAAGACTTGGGGTCTGCTCTGATGGATGGCGTCGTTCTTTGCCATTTAGTAAATCATGTCCGTCCTCGGTCTGTAGGAAGTATTCATGTGCCGTCACCAGCAGTAGTAAGTTGAATATTTGGGGAGGACCATATTAAAAAAAAAAAAAAAAAAGAAGCTTTTTTTTCACATGATATTTGGTTATATAACACGGGGTGCTGTTTTGTGCTGTTCTTGATTTTTCAGGGTCAATCTTAATGAGTACAAATTCAAATTTTCATAATAAAATTTAAAAAACAGTATATGGCTTTGCAGTCCCACTTATTAGGATATTCTTCTTCTCTTGTTAAATGTAGAAATGATTCTGTTTTACAGCAGATAGAATAGAAGGGAAATATATACCATAGTGATGTGATATTGGCCCATAACACTTAAGGACCTGAAAGATTTCCTGAAACTTAATTTTATTACTATTGCCTCTGTGTTTATAGATGTTTTCACCTAATTGAGACACCTAGTTGTTCCAGATTTCTAATGTCAGTCTGGTTTTGAGAGGATGTTTTTGTTTATTTCTGTTTTCTTAAATATACATATTGGTAAATATTTATCAGCTACAACCTGATGTTCAGTTTTGAGACTGGTCTGTTTATTTCAGAGGTAATATCTGAGAGCTTCCAAGAAGACAGAGGTTAAGAAAAAAGATGTTTTCTGAGATGGTTTAGAGAAGTTTCTTTTGCTGTTAAGTGACTTCTGTCTTTGATTAAAAATACGACATTGCTAAAACATGCAAACTTGAATTTCTGGAGTGAAATCTAGGTTTTATTGCTGGATTAAAATAAATAAATATTGTGGCATTATATTCTATAACAAACACCAAACATTATGCCCATTTTCATTTTGTTTTACCTTTATATTGCTGGCGTTCTCCTGTTTGAAACAATCTTCAGATGACATTAGCCTGGAAAACTAGTTCTTTAAAGTCCATGTACCATTGTGAATTCTTAATTTAAGGGGATATTCAAGAGTTTCCATTACTCCATATATTTTCCATTCCATTTTAGTCTCTTGGTACTTTTGCAAAAATTTGGTAGACAGTCCTGCATGAGATTAAAAACGTCTTTGAAACTTTAGTAATAGAAATCTTATTCTACAGAGATATTAGAATTGTTTGTAGCAATTATACATTTTTGCATATATTGTTATATCTTAGCACTTTTCTGTGTGTGTACGAGCTGTATTAGTCAAATGTGTTTTCCTTGATATATGTTGAAATCCTTTATGGTGTCCTTGCTGTCCAGAAAAGAGATGTATGAAAACAATGACTGCTTGTATACATATCATGTATCTTAAATTCACTAACTGTAAAATTGCTGCATAAAAAAGATATTCCAACTATATCAGTTCTCTATCACAAGTCAGGGCAAGTTTTAGAACCTCACAAGCAAGTGCACAAGTAAAGATTTAAGCGTGCCAATGTTTTCAGTAGCTATTTAAATGGCTACACTGCCATCCAAAACTTAAATATTCAAGTCTTATTGTATGCATTATGTTTTAGAGGGGTAAAAGAAAAAGGTCAGCTGAATATTTCATATAGTTTCAGTGGTCCACTGAGGACGGTGTTATCACAAATTCCAAATAATCATCTAGCCCCTCGCCTACAGCTTTGGGGCAGTCGGTAAAGCAGCACATTCTAAGCAGAAAAAGCTTAGAATTAAGGAGACAGGAGGGAAAAGAGAAATATGTGTTTAAGAGGAAAAGGGGAATTTGAAGAGGAAACTTGCTCTGCTCTTCAGAGGTTTCACTGTCTCCCTCCTGATTATTCCCCTCCTTAGGAGTCATGTTGCATATGTGTGCAGGAGCATTTTGGCTGGGGTGAATTCTACCATTTTTTGTTTTCATGAGAAATATCACTAAAACGGTGCCTTAGAAGTACAGGGATTACATACTAGGTGAATTTTTATGCTGTCTGCTAAATCTTACTGACTTGTTTTGCTTTTTTCTTATTATTATTTTTACAGCCTAAACTTAGCATGGCCAAATGCAGGAGGAATGTGGAAAACTTTCTGGATGCTTGTAGAAAACTGGGGATACCAGAGGTAATTAAATGAAGACTGACATTTTTAAATAATCAAAAATAAAAAACTCATAAGTTATTTTAAAGCTGAAAGATAATTTTTTGTATTAGTATTTTTAGCAGTAAGGGTATGAAATGTAAAACAATGAATCTACATAACATGTTTTAGCACTTTATTGCATTTGCTGATTCATCTCATAGCACGTTAAAATTGTTTTAAGCTCATAATTCATTTTTATTCCCAATATTTCCTTATATTTGCTATGGAAAATAACTAAGAAATTTGGTAATTAGGTAGAAGATCACTTCCTTTTTCCTTGTATAGTTATAACTGCATTTCTACCCAGTGCTTTTAGAATATGGACTTCACTTGTTTTAAATATTGTCGTCTTTTTTTACTTTAAGTGCTTCATAGTATATTTTGCAAGTGACAAGCAATGCTCATGTCAGTACTGAAATGATTTTGCACTGATAGGAAGGTGACCATTTTCTGTGTGTTAGCTATGGGATGTACATGATGAGCAAGCTGCTTTAACAAAAAAAATATGCATTTCAAAAGTTGGAGGCAGGGAAGAGCCACGGTTTTTGGTGTTTTGTTGTTTTACATTTAAGAATGGCAGCATTTATGGATGTCTAATTTATTCTCATGTTTTCAGGAAAATACATTTTTCTTACAACCTAAATGTCATAAAAAATGACATTTGAGTTTGAGTAGTGATATGGATTGGGCCTCTAAGTTTTAATGGTTGATTTAATTGTTGTAGTTATGTAATTCATTGTGTTAGAATGATTTCATAGGATAGATAAAATCTGATTTTAAATCAGAAAGTCACTCTCTGTGCTCCGGTGTTATAGGCAAAGTAGGTGCAGTGTGTTTGAGCTGCCCAGAATACCTTGTCTTTTGAAGAATAATACATTTTCAGCAAAATAGCTAATTGACTTAAGCTGTGGTTAAGGTTAAGCTAATTGACTTAATACTCTGAATTTTCTTGTTATAGATTTCTACAAATAAGTTTTCTAGAAGAATATCTTTCTTTTTTTCCTATGAACTCAGGTTTTTATTTTTCCTCCTTTTTACAGCTTTCAGTAAAACATAAAACTTTTATAGCTGTTTTTGCATTTTATTGAAGTATATTTGTTGCAACATTACACCCTTAAGCAAAGGCCAACCCTATTTATAAAATTTTGGATTTTATAAATCTAACACCAAGTCTCTTGAGGGGAAAACTAATTTATTTGAACACTGAGTGAATCACTTGCAATTGTTAATTGTAAATAATCTGGGGATATTCTTCGTGCCCAGCTTTTGGCAATGGCTGAATTGTGTTAGATGTGAAAATCTGTTGTGCTGCAGAGCTTGTTGCTGGAAGGTTAAATATTGCTGCATGTTGAAGGGGGAGGATATTAGTAGCCTAAAGCTGCATGACAGGAAGTTGTTATTATTATTATATAACTAGCTAGCAGAGGAGACACCCTAGAAGGCTTGTAAGGAACTGCAGGTCATGTTTGCTGATGCTTCAGACTGAGTTTTGCCTCACCCAGCTACCTCTAGAGGATCCAGCAAAAAGAATAGAGTGATTTCCTTTTCCAAACAAGGATCCTATGGGCAAGTGATAAGTTGCATGTGTGGATCCTAAGATCTGTGTGATTTCTCTTGTCATGTTTACCTCATGCTTATTTCTGAAAATTACCTGAATATTCAACTGCACAGTTTTGGTGTTTGGTGAAACCCCATAGTTTCCCTCAGTCTAGTTGAGTTCCTTATGGAAGAAGACCAAGTACGGGTTATTTCTGTAATTTCACACATTTAAAAGAGTATCCTGTGAGATCACATAAAAGGAAAACAAGAAAATTACTATGCAAATTATTATGCTGATGTAAATAGTCTGTTACTTCAGTTGCTTTCAGCGTTCAATTCTTGGGTCAAAAATCGTTTTCCCAGAAGAATCCTGGGAAAATTTCTGCAAGTATAGAATACAGGGTAGGCTTCAATATGCAGGTATGTGGCAATAAGCCTCAGGCCTTGGCCTTTTGACCAAAGTCACAAATACAGAACGCAAGAACAGGAGCATCTCTTTCTAATAGCCTCATGGTAGATGATTCAAAAATATTGTGTGCCAGCTGATTTCCAGTGCAGAAGTGAAGCAAAGAACTCATACAGTGGGCGACACGTGGAAAGCATTCTCTGTTGATAGCCTATAATTCTTCTGGTCATATGCACAAGGAACAGGCTTAGATGTGTTTCAGGAGCGTCTGTCTTTGACTCTTCAGTGAAAAAGGAAGCAGCAAGGTTCTTACAGCACTACGCTGGTGAGGTTCACTGAACTCAAAACACCTTTAGTGCACCTGTTCTCTCGGTGTTTTGAGGGTTTAAAAAATAAAGCTACTTTTTGACTTTTGTTCCTCCTTTTGTGTTTTAAGTGTGGTCCCTGAGGTGTCAGATGTGCCAGTTCTAATGCAATTTTTATATTTTAGTGATGTCTCAAGAATATTAAAAATGATCAGGAGTGCCTGAACAGTTATTTTATGATTATGCATGTAACATTGGGGCAGTGGAGACCAAAATACTTCCATTTCTTAAAGCTAGCAACAATGTAATGAAAGACAGCAATATTTATATAACATTTCTTTGTCATAAGAGGAAACTCAACTAGTTGTTCACATATTCTGAAAGCATAGTGCCATTTTTATCACCTGCCATATTAGAATTGCTATTCATATTAGTGGAAAGGCAGTATGCTTTTCCATCTTAACTTGCATATCACTAGTTTGGGCTTTTATTCTTGGCAGCTGCTAGTCTTGGTAATCCATGCAAGAGCATTTTTTCTTACATACTTCTAGTGTTTGTCAAAAGGAAAAAATCAGCTCATTTGTGGTGGACTGAATATGTATGCAAACATGAGCATAATGTTTTTAATTGGAGCAAAGTAACTTGCAGTTCTACTGAAAAATGTTCTGAGCCATCTATTCACTGGCTTATATTGGTGAGCTTCAGGCAAACACAAAGAAGCTGTAAATGCCAAGTGTGATCTGAAAGGTAAAAGTTTAGTAATTTTGGTCTATGTTTCTTCCGGTTTGCAATTACTGAACAAATTTGGCCTATCAGAAATTGTCATTTCAGTCAAGTGCTCACAGCAGAGACACATATGCATAAAACAGAAGGGAGATGATAAGAAATGGCTTTCTTGGACTCAAATCATCCCCTGAAGGTTCGGGTTATAAAGGCTTAACTGTGGCCATCCCTGTGGCTCTCAAATCCTGCAAACAGTAGCTATGACCACATCTCACCTCCTTCTTTGAAAGCCAATTCCAAAATGTTGGAGTGTGAGGCAAAAAATTATTCACAAGCCCCAGCGTGACTTGTGTTAAGGTCCGAATTGCCATTAAGTAAAACAAAAACACCAAAAAAGAAAACCAGCAGAACATATTAAAAAAAGCAAGCAAGCACAGTGTGTCAAGTAAAGTCCTTTATCTTCTACCCATGTATTAGTTATTCAATGAATAATCTGGTTCCTCAGTGTAATGCAAGGTGTGTTTTCATTGCCGCTCACTCTTGTTTTCTAATCAGTTTACATACTGAGTTACTCCTCCTAGTTGCACCGTGAGGCCTAGTTGCACCGTGAGGCCTAGTTGCACCGTGAGGCCTAGTTGCACCGTGAGGCCTAGTTGCACCGTGAGGCCAGAGTGCCATGAGTTGCAGTAGGTTTTATCAGGTATGACATCCTCCTCCACCCATTCGCCCTGCACTCAGGGATGTACGTACACTATATGACCTACCCTATGGAGCGAGTAACTCGGCGTGCTGTCTATTGCAGTACTTTAGATTGTAATTCTGAGGGCCCTTTAACTTGTGCTTTGCAAACACACGCGCTTCAGACCGCGTTTGTTCCTGCAGTCCTGGGGGCTTTTCATTTGTTTTTCTCGTCCCCTTTGAAGGCTTTGGAGTGTTTATTTTGTGCTAGGGTAACTTTGCGCAATTTTTCACGATTTTGCTATGTCATGGGTTTAGTTTGGAAATTTAATTGGACAACTGAAAAAAATTTGGTAGTCAAAATAGCAATGTGTTCCACCATTTCTGAAAAGCTTAAAACTGTCTTGGGTTCCATTACACAAGTTCAAAATATATATTCTATGAACATTTTACCTGTTAAAGTGAGAACATAATAGCAAGTTTTCTATTGGTGCAGAATACCCTAAAATAAGTGAAAAAAATCAGAAATTCCTTAGACTTCCCCTGGTTTCACTGATCTCATGGCATGGCAACTTGTCGTAGGTGTTGGCTGGTTCTGTGTGCTTTGTCTCCTGCAGGGTGCCGCTTAGTATGCTAGTATCTGGTTAGCAAGTTCCTCACCCTCTGTAAAAATTAAACTTGTTACCAGCTGGGGTTACTATTCTCTGACTTGGAAAACTACTCCCTTCTCCATTTGAATGCAGTAATATCTGTTTTTAGAGGTTATCTTTTCATATCGGGGAAAAATACCCTTGTTTTAAAGTTTTGAAAAATATTTCAGTTAAATACATCGTGGATATTTCTTTTGGGATATATTTGTGACAAGTCTGAAATGATTCTTTTGTATGACATTTTAAAAAGAATGCAGTTTTTATTCTGTTTATTAGTGTTGCTAGTGGAAGTGCAAAATATATGTGGTTGAAGGTTAAGTTCTGAATGTTAACATTTTGCTTGCCCTGAAATCAGTTTCACTGGTAAGCATCTTGCATGTGCAGATGTTCTTTAAAAAATCTAATGCTAGTCCTGTTCAGATCTTAAGCAAGATGAGCATATTTTGAAAAGTGACTGTAAAGACAGAAGTGCTGTTGCTAAGCAGGAATTTTCTCACTTCCCTGTTCATGTCTGGATTCATATCTGCTGGGTTAAGTAATAAATGTTAAAATGTTGCTGCTTGAAACTCCTCTTAAATCTAGAACCAAGAATGGTAAGCAAAGTCACTTTTCTTTTGTGTGTATGAATGGCAGAACTGTCTGCAGGTTTCACCAGTCACTTTTCAGGATACAAGAACTGTT